ATTTTGTCTATTCATAAATATTCAGTGTAAGTATCGTAATGTTCGTCATGAAAAACAGTATAGTGACTAAACTTATTCTAATATTTTCCTTTTTTATTTGCACAAATATTGGCATAATCATAATTAATAATGTTCTTCTGCATTAGAAGCATTATAATATAATTTAACCTACCCTATACATAGTGTGAAAGAGATGTAGCACATGGGCATGGACGCAAATGTGATCGGTCATGTTTTTTTCAATATTAAATAATGCCAATCTCAGCATGCGTTTTTTGCTTGTCTTTTTACAGCATCATCGTTGCAACTGACATGACCCAAACACAAATGTAAATACCTGCAATTACTATCTAATGAACTACTGACGTAAAATTCTTGTTATAAATTGAATTTATTTATGAGTCTGCGTTATTTTTTTAAATGAATTTGTATCAATAACCGGTGGTTTTCGATTGGTTTGTGCGACATGGATGGTTGTGGGTGGATTTTTCTCTACGTTCATTTTAAAACACATCCATACCCTAGTAGTCCGAACTGATTTGCACATTTGCTAGAATGGTTCGAAAATAGCAAAACAAATTCAATCGAAGAAAAATACATTTGAGCTGCATCTTGCTAATGAGTTAGCTTTTTTCAATTTTCAGATGCCATATTCATAGCTCATTTAATAATTAATTGACATTCATAATACACTATAAATCAATATCTATAAATTTGTCCAAGATTCATAACGAAATATTCGTAATGATTTTGTTTTGGTCAACACTGTTTAACATGGATGATTCATCTAAGTTACGTTCATACATCTACAGTCTCTAAAATAATGGTTGAATTTTACTGGATACTTTTAGTTATCATTTGTCTATAATTTAAAGATAATCGATACGCATCGTGATCAATGGTATTCAATGTGAAATGTGGATTTTTACATTGTCATCGATCAGGATAATAAAAATAATCTCAAAACATTGATATCGAATAGAGATGAAATTTCGAATCATTTTCGTCGCGCTCATAGTCAGTGTGCGTGGGTGTGAGTGAGAACTGATCCCAGGAAGACGCACATCACATCCGTTTTTCAATTACATGAGGAAAAAGCAAACAGTCTTCACTTGAAAGAATATGATATATATTCTTCAAAAGTACCATTATTTTATTATGAAGCGATTTCTCACGAAGTTCTGCATAAAAAAAGTCATGAATAGGGGAAAAGTGGAGATGATTCAATATTTGTCTTATGCATCTCTGCCTGTTTACAGACAAGAGGATGACGCTGTTTTCTATGGTATTGTCATTTGAATCTTGCACAACCAAGGTGAAAATAAAGATAACATCATTGTCTACCTATCTTGTTTTAAACATTAAAAAAGAAAACTGATAAGAGTGCACCTATATAAAGACAGTAAAAAGCATAATAAACGCCGCCTATACCTAGTTTCATTTCAATCGATAAAAAGATCGAAAGCCGCCATGCCGTCTCTAACGTCTCTCGCCATTGTATCAATCTTCATGATTTTCATCTGTTCTCTATCGAGTGTTTCATCTGATTGTAGCAGTTGTTGTAACTATAACACTGGCTGTAGTACAGCTTATAAAGGCGGTCCAGGTTCGTTGTAAATATTATTTTCTGAAAATTTTATTTGTTTTTGTTGAGAGATGATAACGCAAAATCATTTTTCAATTCGAGTCTAACTAACAATGACTCAAATCCAAAGAAAAAACGTTACTAGTGACTGGACTTGATTCGACGTTTTTTTCACGATTCAAGTTGACCTATGATCTGAAACAGTTAACGACTACATACTCTATGGACCCCTAATTTTTATTTATGGGAACACAAAGTCTAATAGAATTGGGTCTCTTTAGAATTAATTTTTACTATAATTCATTACTCTATGGTATATAAGCCTCTCTTATTTATTGACGGAGGCATCGTGGGATTTCTAAAATAATGCATTACCGAGTATAAAGTCATGAGTAGTTCTAAAGACTTTCAAGATTTCGATTTCAGTTTGAAATCAACTATATGTGTTTTAAACATAAACTGAAATCAAATAAACGTAATTGTACGTCTAATCGGATGAAATAGGATAAGGTCTTCGTCTCAGGAAGCCTTATTTTCTACAAAAAAACCTATTCGCTGGGGTACTTTTCTCTTGAGAAAAATATACAAACTTACCATACATTATCAAGATACTGACTTTTTACAGATCTTTTAGTAAAACTAACAAACATAGACTCAAGCAAATGGCACGAAACCAAAGAGATTTTAAAACTAAAAAACTGGGATAAGACGATTTCCTTGACTTCATCTTATGGGACAACTTTTCTATCGTTCCGTCCCAGCTCATAAAAAGCTATAGTCTCTATTCAAGTTTTTCTACACTTATCTTTCTCTCTCTCTCTCTCTCTCTCTCTAGCTCAATGTTGTGGCTCAGGCTTTTTTAAATTTTGTTGCCCGAGTAAGTATTGTTTTCAATATATTTTCATCTTATCATTGGAAAATCTTTTTTTTTTCTAGCCAGATCAACTTGTGGTTCCTACCCTTATTGCAAAAGTTATTATTATTGGGGAAATTTGACACTCGCTGGACTAATCAGCGTCATTGTCGGTAGTATTTTTGGATGTATCTTTTTAATTACATTATGTCATCATTTGTGCAAAAGACAACGCCGACCAACAGGAGCATCTGCAATTGTTTTACCACAAACATTTCAGAATACTGGTATCCACCAAGCACCGCCACCTTATTCATCTTCAACTAAAGCATAAACTTAAAAGTTGTTTCAAAGTTTTCTTTTTATTGATGCACTATCTCCTGTGAACTATGTTTTCTTTGTAATCATACACTATCAAAGACTGCTAATGATGCTTTTCCTATCCCCTAGACTGAAGTGATAGCGTCCAGAAACCGTAATTCACCTGTGTCTGCCCGTCCGCATTTCTTCTGCTCAACACTACCAGTCTAGGGCCCAATGAATCGACTTTCGATGCTGATGAACGATATTTGCTTTGATATACGAAGTGGATCAAAAGCAAGAAAAAAAACAATTCTTTTCCATTTACCAGTCTGAACTGATAGTTCAATCTCATATTTCGACCACATATACAACGTAGGTGAAAATTCTCAAAGGATACGAGTTTATCTATCTCTAACCGAAATCAGTAATATCTTGAGGGGTGTGGATGGATTTTCTCTACCTTTCAGTTTAAAACACAACCACAGCATTTGACTTCGCATACTTTGATTGATACTACTTATGAATGTTACATGAATATTTTCTATTGATTTTGTTTTCAGTTAGCTTTCGGAAAGTTTTCATCGCCGTAGGAAGTACATGAGATAATTATTTTGTTCTTTCTCTTACTCCCCACTGCTATGATTGTTACTGATTGTAACGAAATATTTTGTGGGTTATTATTCTTTGGTTCGGGGTGAATTGATAAATCAAAATATAACGTTACGGTTTTTGCTGATATTTATTTTAATAACAATATGAGCACACGCAGATAATAACAATTGATAAATAATTACAATACACACAATAATAATAAATGGAGAACGATTATCGTTTCACGATTCTAAGTTATAACTTCTATTTAATATTTCTAACTCAGTGACTCTCTTCCTTAAATTATCTATATCACTCCTTCTCAATGCTGCTCCAGAATTATCTCTCCTTTCTCTCCTTTACGTACCGTCCTATATCACTATATCCCCGTTCTTTTATACTCTCGCTCGTTTCTCTTTCTCTACTTTCTTCTATATTTCTATTCATTACTATAAAAGGAAATTATGAACTAAATAAAGAATAACTTAGGCCATTTCGATTATTTCATTGATTGACATAAACTCCTGATCCTATCTTTATCATACTTGACCTGATGACGTACTGATAATATCAAGCGGATATTCTTTCTTGTTATGACCTCACCTTGCACTAATGCTTTTATGAACGTCGTAATATCTAATCGTTCTTATCGACTATTCTAATTATCCGTATAAAGAATACGAAGAAACTCCATAATGGGGAAACGTAGATATCTGAATCAAGAGGGGTGTATCATTCATAAAAAGGTACACATGATTTTCGGAATATCTGGGAATATAGATTATTGGCACACTGATACATCATTATATTTTTCTTCTTTTTTGCCTAATTGGTGATGTTTAATTTCATCGTTTCTATACGTATAAATTCTATAAAATCAACAAGCTGATGGTATTTGTCCATTTTCAGACCGCTTGAGATTCATTAATCAATTGGTCAAAAAAGTTTTTAAAACTCATCCAATTGCAAAATTTATTCAGAGAACTTAGAATACCATCCTTTTCTGTGAAGACGAGATGATATTGTTAACGCATTAAAAAGAGCTCCCTCTTAGGGTTTGAAAAAAGCTGGTAATATTCCTTATTTATGATGGTGAGCCAAAACGATTTGTTCGGGACTTTGGGTGTGAGTGTGGATATCCCTGTCTTGTTCTACAACGACATGCACACCATAACTTACGATACGATAGTATCACCTACCATGTGAAGATTCTCCTTGCTGAAATGAAATATCAACACCATGATAGATCCAGCACACCCACACCCACACCCACAAATAAAATTGATAAATAAAAACGTTTTTTCACTAGGTTGTTACTTGAAAAGTTCTCTTTCTTTTCATATAGTCTGAAAGCCGCTAGCTCTACATAAAAATACACAAGTGCCTAAATGACGTTTGTTTTTGCGATGTATCTTTCATAAGTCACCTATAGTATGAGATGGAAACTTAGGGACTACTGCATTGTAAAACAAATTGTCCAAATCGGCTGAAGAGAAAAGACTTTATTCAAAAACTATGGCTAAAATTCAATCGTACCAAAAAGTTGCAATTCACTCATATATATATATATATATATATAGTTCATCGGTATATAACATTACGCATCAGATAACTGAATTCAATAGTTCAAAGTTCCATATTGACTAATTTTTGTCTTCATTAAAATTAATCTCGTGTTTATAACATCTGATACCAGTCAATGATAAATAAAATATCCGTTAAAAGATACATATTCTGAAATAAGAGACTGAGTCATAATTTCCATAATGATTTTTCATTAAGTAAAAAACAATTCCACGGAAAAATCCAATTCATTAAACTTTTCCCCCTGATGCAAATATCGAATTCATCTAAAATACGATTGTTATACTGTAATGAGTTCCAACTTGAAGACTCGATTCAAATGAGAATTGATAATAGTTTCTCTATGAACAATATAGAGCGACATATAAGATAGGTCAATAAATTAAAATCAACATGGTGTTTATAATAGGTTGGTGAGATCGTTAAAGTTAATTCTCACCTATCATTAATAACCTTGATTTATTTTATATTCGAAATTCACATCAGAGCAGATGGAACAACGAACAATGAAACGTTCAAAATTCTATAGCCTATTTAAGCTCGGTTTTTATAGAAAATAGAATTTATTTCAAATTTACCATGCATTTCCTTTTCATGTGAAAATCTCCAGTTTCTTTACCCAAATAGTGATGGTTTTTTCGGCGCTTCAAACCGTCCTCTCTTTCCACTGTTTCTAGGCATTCTTAAAACACTCGTCAATAAGAAAAATGTTTAACTTTTGCTACACGATATCTCATTGAAAATATGTCACAATTACTAAGACATAGTTTCGAAAAACCTTCATCTAGGTCTATGAATTCTGGTCTGGAAATATTTTTTGATTTGCTTGAAAATTCTAGTTAAGTGATTTAGGAAACAATCTACTTGTAGAAATATTAAGAAAATTCATTGTTATTTTTTTTTGAGAGATCTCTTGTAAACTTTTCTAACTTTCCTCTTCCTATAGAAACTTGCAAAAAACGTAGTTAAATCTGAAAATTTGAATACATCTTCCTCCTGCAGTAAAAATTGCAAAGAATTCTAGTCATTTCCTTCTCGAAAACAAAATTTTAGTAAAACCTCTGAAGAACCCCATAACGGAGGTTTCTGATTCCATATTGACATGAGAAGTACTTTAAAAAGTACACAGATGAAAGATTTGTTAAGTTCTCTTCATAGGGACATATCTAACACTACACAGAGAGATAATGAAGATCTCTTATCATTTTTTTATTTTCTTCTAGTTACCCCCAATATTCCAGCAAATGCCAAATGGGCACAGAATGGTGACTGTTGCTGGAGGCAGCAGATTCGTCAGTGCAACCAATCAACTCAACCAGCCGTAGGGTCTTTTCATTGATGATGATCAAACGATGATCATTGTTGACTGGGGAAACGACTGTATCATCCAATGGAAGAACGGTGATGTTAGCTCTCGTTTTGGGGATTATGTAGCAATGGTAGAACTAATATTTAGTCTGCCAAAAATAGAGAGCTAAACATGTTTCAATAATAGGTTTTGTCGTCGTATCATATATAGAATATATTAAGTATCGAGTATTCGATACGATAGAACATCAACAACTGCGCAATAGCGAACGAAAATCAATCACGAGGATTAGGCATAGTCGAAAATATTACGTAACAAATCAAAATAGAGATCATAACAACAGATAACACGAATAAACGTTTAGCGTCAGTGAGTGCCATCTACTGACGCTAACAGGTGATACTAATGGACAAGTCGTCGCGGGGGACCAGCGTGCAGGAAATAAAATGAATCAGTTTTAGGGTGTAACGGGTGTATTAATCTACAAAGAGACGAATAGTCTCGTTATTTGTGATGCAACCAATCAACGAGTTGTAAGATGGTCTCGTCGTAGTGGTACAACACAGGGAGAAATTTTCATTGACAACATCTATTATTATGAATTGGCCATGGATGATCAGAGACATTTTTATATCTCTGACGGCTTTTGCGGTAGAGTAAAGCGATATAGAATGGGATACAAGAATGGGACTCTCGTTGTTGGTGGCAACGGCGACGGTTCTCTTCGCAATCAACTTATATCTTTGTTGAGCGAAACCAGACTGTATACGTATCAGACAGAGACAATCATCGTGTAATGAAATGGACTAAAGGCTCAAAAGAAGGTACTGTGGTCGCTGGAGGACAAGGCAACGGGGATGCTCTGACACAATTATCGAGTCCTGCAGGACTGTTCGTTGATACATTAAGTACCGTTTATGTAATAGACACGATGAATTATCGAGTGATGCGTTGGCCTCAAGGAGCTGAACAGGGCAGTGTGGTTGTGGGTGCGGCTGTCAATGCTGAGAATAGAATCCTTCAAACCCCACAACCGCAACCACATACACCCTAACAATTTCACTGTAAAGTGCGCATAATTTTGAATCAAACCAGAGATATTTCGCGTCTTCTACAACCTACCCTCTTTAAATATTCCAAGCATCAAAAGAAAAAACAATATGTCTGATTCATTTTTCGAGAAATTTCTCTGTTTTTTCAAAATTTCGTAATGTTTGTACAAGAGACGGCTGTTAAGAAAGTAGCAACTTCTCATTCCATTGACTCTTGAACATGTTATGCTTGATAAGACTCATTTTAATAAATCATCTATATGAAAATTGTAATTTCTCTTATCTGTTGATTGTTAATACATAATGTATATGTTTGTCTTCTCTTCATTAACACTGAGGTACAACAGCCATATTTTGACTATCAAGGTCGATATGGATACGTGGCTCAATATGAATTTCTCATGAAACATGGCTTTAAAATCTGATAAACAATGCGATTCTTGTTTATTTTTAATTAAAAATGAACACAATTTCTTTAAAAAATCAAGCTTAAATTTCGACTATTCTTCAATTTCATATCAATTAAATACTATTTGTATTATAGAAGTAATCCGTTTGTTCAATTAAAATAATAATTCATAAAAGTTGATTGCATTGTAATGTTCGTTTTTCTTGACTACTTTGTAAACCAAGTTCAATAATACGGATAACATTATAACCATCTTCAGGTCGAATTTCTAATTCTTTTCCATGAACAATAGCAGCATATAATTGTTCATAAAACAGTCCATAATTACCAGTTAATGTTTCAAATTTTTCTTTTATGATTATGCCATCATTGGTTTCTGTATGAAGAAATCCATAATCTTCAATTGGTTCTTTACCCCAAGAGTTTTCTGTCAGTTTTTCATCGACAGTTGGTGGCATAGTACCCGTCTGAAGTACACTTGCTTGAACATCCTCACCATATTTTATGAATGAACCTTTTAAACCGTGTAAAACATATCGTGGTCCCATTTCTCGAATCAGCATACTTCTTTTAAGAGTAACACGTAAACGACCATAATCAAGCCGAACATCAAAATAATCATCGACATGAGCCCCGGATCGTTGTATTCGAATGTCAGCTGTAATTGTTTGCGGATGTCCAAATAAACTTAATGTTTGATCAATTAGATGTGAACCTAAATCATAAAAAGCGCCAGCACCCGGTTCACTTCGTTCGCGCCATGCATTACTATCGTTTAATTCTGGTCGATAACGATCAAAGTGTATTACACACTCGTGTATTTCATCACCTAATAATTTTCTATTAATTATTTCTTTTATTGTACGATAACCTGAATCATATCGACGATTTTGATATGGACAAAGTATACGATTTTGCTTTTTAGCAAGTTCAATTAATTCCAATGCTTCCGAACTACGTATTGTCATAGGTTTTTCTATTACAACATGCTTTCTTTTTTCTAACGCTTCTTTACTTAATGAATAATGCAAATCATTTGATGTTGCTATTATAACAAGATCAATATCAGGATCATCGAACAATTCTGTTGGATCTTTATCAAAAATCAAAAATCAATTATGTTGATACAACATGCAATAAAATAACAGGCCGCTTATCATCCATCATTTCAATCGTTTCTGTGCTGTGTTGGCCTTGTTCTGTAGAGCATAGTCGCATTATGCACTTGACTACTTGTCAGCCCTCTTAGTATAGATATTAGTGGTTCTGTTTCATAGTAGTTGTGAGAAATTAAGGTTTGAATCCTCAAATCTTTCACAATTACAACTGAAGTATCACTGTGCGTTTTCGAGCTCTCATGGTGACCCTAAAGTGAAGCAAGGAACGAAAAATCTGTTCGAGTTTTCCAGTGCCAGTAGCACATAAAAAATAGATACTTTACCTGAATTTTAGTATTAAGACATGAGGTAACACATCATTACTTTTTTAACATCCATATAAATGTTTTCTCAGAGTACTGCTTCATATGACTATAGCATAAATGGTGGGACCGGTTCGGTCGTTTCACTTACGAAGTGGAGAACCGAAAATAAGTGAAAAACAAATCTCTCATCGTCCAGTCTCAATAGACGACTGATTTTCAAACAAGATATCGATAGTAGTGCATTCGTCATTTCAATTACTTCAAGGACAAAAACGTATCTGCATGCTTATTGTTTTTCAGTGAGGTCACCGTTCAAATAAAACAACATGAACGATTTTTAATAGTGACTTTTAATAGAAGCTCTTGCTATAAAATGAATATAAAGATCACTCTATTCAATCTTCGTATTGCATCGCGTATTGAATTGTTCTTTATGATGCCTTCATTTAGAATTCTAAATCAGAGATCCTAATAGATTATAATCTTCAGAAAAGGATTATGTTTCACTGGCTAGCAATAGATAGGTACATGAAAGGTCTCATTAAGAGGAGAGGGGTACCCCTCAGAATTTATATCAACGACTTTCCGTTGGAGCTCCAACAGAAAGGAAAAAATGTTTCGAAAAACCTTTACCAAGCTTTCTAGTCAGAGAAAGTAAGATAGAACAAAACCGATGCACAAGGAAATGCTGTGTAACATAACTGTGCTAGATTTTTTAAGTTAATGAATTTTTTTTCAAAAAAATACATAATAATTTGTTTTGAATTTTAAATCGAAAAAGTTACAGATTATACGTAACTGAACAATCTCTATAACAAATAAAAAGTCAGAGAGGCAAATATGGCCTTCCTCCCTATAGTAAGGATATTTTTACTATGCACAATCAAAGTTAATATTGTACATTTTTATATTGTTCAAATTGAATATACTAAGAGAAGATTAAAAAATAATCTGATGCATCCTTTCATCCTCTACGAGCATTTTTTAGATTTCAAAAGGGATTTTAGTTTAACTTCAACTTCAATAGTTTATAAAGTTCATTTTACGCTGATCCCTTCTTTTCAATCCTCGAAGCACTCGCAAAAATCCTCAATAGTATAAGAAAAACATGTTTATGATGGCTTGATAGATACCCAGGTGAAAGAAAACGGCCCGTAAACGGCCTGAAACGGCATAAAAACGACGTAAAACGTTAAAAAACGGCGCCGTTTTCCGTCAGCTCGGAAAACGAAGAGAATAGTGTTAAAAGCGATGGCCGTCTTCTAGCAAAAAAAACGGCCCGTAAAACGAGCTGACGGATTACGGCGAAATAGGGTGAAAATTTATGCCGTTTTATGTCGTTTTATAGTCGTTTCAAGCCGTTTCCGATGGCCTTTCAGACGGCAGGATGATCCTCCTGGGTATCTTCACCAGTTTTGAGAAATGCCACGTTTTAGTGCTTCAAAATAGAAATCGTCATTTTCAGCTTGCAACTGGGTGAATCTGACATAATCATCTATTTCAAGTTTCTTCTCTTTGTTACCTGACAATTGATGCCGTTGTTTGTCCATAATCGACCAATCTCGCTCCAAACTCATTTTCGAACAGCTCCTTGAGATGATGAACACTGAACGTTTTTCTACGCTCAACTACTCGTCTAGCCTGTTGATCTTGATCGTGACCTAAATTGTTTGCAAGCTCATCGTCAAGTGCCACACTGAGTCGATGCACCAAATTGGTCCGTGATGGCTGTCTATCATCGTTATCGAGTTCATTATTGTCAGCTTTACGAGAGTCACTATTACTTGTTTCAGGCTTCGTAGTCCCCTGGCGATTAGAATCATGATGCGCCATTTCTCTCTTCTTCATCAATGTGAATGTTAAAAGTGAGCGGAACATGAGAATGGAGAGCATCTGATTGATAAGAATGCGATAAAAACACCGTTTTTTTTGTTAGAGCAAAATCAAGGACGCTGCTTACTTTCAATTCTGTGTACTCTAGATCAATATTACAAGAACAACAATTCGTTTTCATTGAATGACGAATCATTTGAATCTGTGTGTGTGTGTGTGTATGTACTTTATTCACACGCACATCCAAACATTCCCAATAGAAAAAAAATACTTCTAGAAGAAGTATTGAAAAGAAGAGAAAGTTAAACGATTACCGATGATTAACTCTGAACGACGCAGCTATCAAGAGCATATTAGTACCATTTGATGTATCTGTTAATTGTTTTGCTAATCATGAAAACGTTTGTGTGTGAAATAAAAAAGCACGAAATGAAATATAGAACAACATTTTTTCCATTTACGAACATGATGAGAGACATGTCACCTTTGTGAAATTCAGTGCAACAGTTCTTATGTTATAGAATATCCTCAACTATTTTGATGTTCAAAACACAAGCAATCCTGGACGATAACTTTTGATAGTTACAGCAAGAACATGTGAAAATTTTCCCAAAAAATATTCAAAATCATTACAGCAAAAACTGTACGCCTCAAAATCTAACAAAATATATCACAAGTCACTCATTGCAAAAACTTATAATTTTAGAATATACAGCGAAAGCATAGAAATCTATTTCGTCTAATTCATGTAGCTATGTATTCTACAGATACCCGATGATGATGATGATTGTTAATTTATGCACCATCGAATTATCTTGGTATACGAACGTAATATATAAACCACTGACGAATGAGAAGCTTGCGACACGTAGAACAGAATGAATAATGCGGACAGAGTGCTGTAGAAAAGAATGCTCAAACATGATATCCAGTCTTAAGAGGTAAATGTGATGAGAATCCCATTGGCCCTCGATTATTTTGATACATTTTGACATTCAATATTTACAAATTCGCTAATTTCTCTACATATAGAAATGAAGCTATTGAAAATGATACATGTTAAATACTAAAAGAACTGGCTTGAAAACTTTCTAACTTAAAATAATATCGTTAATCTAAATAAATAATTATAGCAGCTTTTTTCAAAAATATTTTAGGATAAATGCGTAACATATATTTTTGTACTTCAGCTTGAACATTGCGAAAAGCAATTGTTGAACACATGTTAAATCATATGCTCGTAATGGCTGAGTATTTTTGATTAGTTTTAGTGCTTCAATATAACAATTAAATGGTAGCGTATGTTGACTTCGATCAAAATATATGTTGGCTAATAATTCAAAATTTTCAAATGACTGTGCTTCTCCACATTGTTCCAACAGTTTCATAGACTTCTTACAATAATCATAGGCTCGACTACTATCATCGTCTAGTTTGTAATAAATTGGAGCAAAACTGTTAAGTAAACAAGCATAGCCATATTGGTCATTCTTTATCGTTGTTTCGTATAAATTTTTAGATTTTGTACAATATTCAATAGCATCTTTGTATTCACTATTTAACCAAAAAATGCCCTAAATTGTTATAGAGTGATGCAGTCGCTGATTCATCGTTTGGATCTTGAAGAACAAGAGCCTCCCTACAGTGTTTTAAGGCTAATTTGAAGTCACCTTTGATATCATAAACGTTACTAATCGATTGATCCAGGCGTGTAAGCTGTACAGTATTTGCAGAAGTTGAACATAATTCGTATGGTTGCAATGATTTATAATAGTATTGGAGCGAATAATCAAAATCACTTTTATAGTAATTACATCTTCCCAACTGATAATAAATGTCTACAATTCTATTTGAATCAAGATGAAAAGAGTCATCATATTCTTCAAATACGTTAATATAATGTTTTATAGCCAAATCATATAAATTTTTAAGCTGGTAACATGTGGCAACATATTGATGAAGGTCAGATACCATTGTACTATTCAACATTGACTTAGTGGTATGAATATTTAATGATTTCTTGAAATTTACAAGCGAAAGATCATAATCACGCGCTTCAAAATATAGCAGACCAAGGGTGAAATCTAAAAGTGCGACATTATACTGTTTTATTTCCTCCAGAAGTATTCTGTTTAAGATCGCTAACGCTTCGCTCAGATGATTTATCGTCGTTTCGTAATGATGCAATTTGCCATGTGCTTCAGCTAAACATTGATGTATCACAGCAACAAGTTGATGATTTGCTGGTAAATGTTTCTTGGCCAACGACAAACATATGTTATAGTTATCGATTGCCGACGAATAATCATTTATTTTCATGCAATATTGCCCCATATTAACATACATTATGGATGACGCAACACACGTTTCGCTGGCTAAGCATGATAATGAGTGATTACTAGGATCTTCTTTACAGATGTCATCTGAAAGTTTCTGTTCTGTTTGAGAAATGTATACGGCTAAAGTAACCAACATTGAAGACAAATTAGTAACATTGTCAATAGTCTGTTTTAACCCATCGGCATGTGTTGCATATTTTATCGGCAGCCCATATTCCGATTCTGGATAATAATAATTGATTAAACAAACACAAGCAAACCATTTCTGAAGTTTATCTGTGGAAAAATGCAATCTTTTTTCAAAGTATCGTTTATCCTTGACGAAATTACCCATTTGAATTAACAGGTAACCAACACCCAAATCGGTTGGAAATAGTTCACGTACCCTATTGTTTCTTTTGTTAATTCAAAATAATCATTTGTTGCGTTTGTTCTGCCAATAGTAGATAAATTCACAACCCATAATTTCTTCGCGCCATCAAAATGAACACTATGTATTTTGAATGTGGTTCTTAAATCGAATAAGACTTATTTTCTTCAGGAAATTCACTAAATCGATAAATATCGGCAAATATAACACTACTTAATTGTGTATGAATATCAACTTGACAAATAACATTGTCGGCAAATATTGTAGCCATAGCGGCTGATCGACTAGTAGATAAAAATCCATTTGGTGATATAAATTGTCCAATACTATTTTTCAATTTCTTCTGTTGATAATGTTTGTCCTCGGTAGACCTGAAGAATGTCTTCGTGATATTCTCTTTCTTGATCACAAACATTTTTCAGGTGGAGACAAAGATCAGTAATATAAAATCCTAATGATAAAAGTGCATCGATGTCCTCTGTTCTCAATGGTCGTTTGATGAGATGAAATAGAAAACTATTTTTTGTATACCATTGAATGACTTTTGTCGATTCATATTCCTTTTCAAATTTATCAATATTTGATAACTGAGCTTTATTCAGTGCATAATATTGTCGACATTTATGTACTAATTCTTGTTTTACTTGCCCATCGCTTTTATCGATTGTTAGCAAAGTATCTCTCAGTAATTGATACCACAGAAAATTAAGTGAATCCTTTTCTAAATCTCTTATAGCCTTTATTGGTTGACAAAACCAACTGAATGTTGTCAACTGGCAAGTTACCTGATTTAAAGCGTGAAATAGAAAGTCATAATCAGTATAAATGCCATTTAATTTTGGGTATTAATCATGTAAATGTTAATAGAGATCCTCCTTACTACAGAAAATGAATATTGAATGATCAGCTGTTGATCATGTATCAATGGTAGAGTTTCTTGAGCGACACAACCAGATAAAATAAGAACTATTGTTGCCGCGAGGGTATTAAAATACCATTCAGAAAATACCTTTTATTTGTGAACAATATTACATGGCTATTTATTTTACCCAACGAATCTTTAAGATCATCATCAATACTTTCATCATACCGTATTAATGCCACATCATTTTCAGTCTGGCATAGTGTGTTAATTGTAATATTTACAACTTTTGACGTAAATAACCGTTTGAGAAAGCCACTTTGGATTGTATCAGCTTCGGTCATGTGTGTTGTTTTAATTTTATCAACAAATATAAAAAAGATGTTTTTGACTCTTTACGTTTACAGATAAAAAAAAGTAAATCGGCATTCTTTTTGTATATTTGACTGTAAAAAGAAGGCAAATAACCAGATAGCAAATAAGCGAGATGTTTTGTTTTCATTGATGACTAATACAAAGCGAAAAAATAACAACTTATGAAAAGATAAGCTGAATTTAAAAGCTCGGCTACACCTTTTTATAGACTTCTTCGCCGAGAAAGCTTTCGAATGTTAAAAGAATTCAAGGAGAAATAATTTAATGATAAGTTAGAGAGGCCATCATTGGTTTTGTCCTCGCTGAAGAAACTCATCAGGTGACTTATAAATTCGACTGCTTTCTATTTGACGAAAAGCAGGTTCAGCTATCATAATCAGATATACAAAAAAGTTGTTCGCTATTTGAAAAGCATATTTTGGTATAGTTGGCAATCTTTTATTTATATTAATATTTACACGAAGGGAAATGATTAGATTTCGTGTATTCATACTCGCAATAGTTCTTGCAGTTAGTAATATTATTTTGTTAATTACATCAGTATTTAATATCATCTTATCTGATTTTTATGGTGTATTATTGGCAGATAAATCGGTATTTTGGTGATACGTAATGTTTTCATAGCCGACTTTTTTTTCATAAATCATTAATTAGCCTAATTACTGAAAAATGACGGCGTACTTTTTCTTGCGCTAACAAATTCTATATTCTAAGGGCAAATACAATTTACAATATTAAATTGATGGGCTATGAGAATGTAGACTTTTTTCCCTATTAGAGAGTGTAGAAAAGCATAGAATATTAATAATTTCTTTTTCTTGTAACGAAAATCTGGAGTAAAATGTGAGCTATTAGGATCAACTGTATATAAAGTACGTGGAATTATATCAATTTTAGTTACTCATATCGGTAAAATAAAAGATAAGCCCATCGTTCATTTTTATATCGAATTTAAAAAAGTTTCCAGTACCATTTGTTTTTCTTAGCATACTTGATATTTTTATTGTTCACCGTTTAAAAACTAATCATCTATGTAACATTCAGTGTTACCAAAAAAGAATCGAAATGCTACAAATTCATCAGCACGTAACAGATTTAAAAGGCAAGGAAATGTTGATCGAAATATAATATTTATATTAATTACTGTTGGCGTTACTTTTATAGTTATGTCGTTTCCATTCTCGTAAGACATTAGATTTTTTCAAATAAATCATTTCGTTTATTTTTTCTTTTAAATAGAATCTATTGGCTTTATGTGCAAATTCGCCAAATCACTATGCCAAATAAAACTGTATTCATATTAACACAAACATTTCGTTATTTGAATTATTCGTACCATTTTGTTTATTTATTCAGTTAAGCCATCATTGTTTCGTCGGGACTTCCGTAAAATATTTCAATGTAAAAATCATAGAGATAAAAAAATAATAATGATCAACCAATAAAGCCCTATAATACGATGAATAAACGTGATATTTTACCTGAACATAAAAATCTTTTATAAACAATATCAAGCATGGCAAAATATTAAAAGTTTCAATCTTATTAAGCATAGAATTTTTTGCTTTGTATTTACACAAATATGTAAAAAAGAAGTAATTTTGAAAAAACGAGTGAAAGTGATTCTTTGATTTCCAATATTTTTTGTTTGTAAACGAAGAACGAAATCGTTTATCTAACAGAGAAAAGTTATAGATTATTACAAACCATAGTAGCGAAAAATAAAATTTATTTTTAAGACAATATAAACTTATTTCCTGAGATCAAGCATACTGATAATAATAGAGCCTAGATGTAATATGTGCTTTCAGCCTGACATAAGCCAATCATAATATAATGAAACGAGGATTCAAAGTTGAACTAATTATATCTACTAAATTATCGCTTAGTTGATAATCAACTATTCAAGTTTTACACTCTAATCTTGAAAGTATTGAGCTGACAAATTTTCTTTTTCGCTTTTTACTGTAGCTATTATTCCCAGGACGAGCTTTACGACGTCCGTATACGGTGAAATACGGGCCGTATACGGCCGTTTTCTGCCGTATACGACGGTAAATCGCCGTATTTGGCCGTATTACATGGCTCCGTATTACGATCGTAAATCTCCGTGTCGTAATACGGTGAAATACGATCAAAAACGACCGTAAAGCGCCGTATTTCGCCGTATACGGCACGGAGATTTACGATCGTAATACGGAGCCATGTAATACGGCCAAATACGGCGATTTACCGTCGTATACGACCGTGTATGTTCGACCTGGGATTATTTTTGTGCACACATATCTGTACACAGAAGTGTGCGAAGTAAAATACATCTCAAGAAATATTCTATGTTACATATTGACACAAGTATTAAAAATCTGTTGTGTTTTCAATACTAATATTTTGTTTTAATGAGAAATTCTGTTTCACTATTAATTTTAGTAAACGAAATATTTAAAAAATATTACTCATACAAATGCAGACGAAGTACGAATCATCGATTACCTGCACATTGGAATGTTACTTTCACGTAAATAATTCATGTGCATAATTGATAATGAATCATTTATGCAAGCTCACGCCTACTTTTTACCGTTGCTGGCACCATTTTCTCGTTCTTCATCGCCACTACATGTCTGTACATATTTATTTCGTTTTCATGGCATTTATTGAAACTTGAAGTGAAAAATCAAAATAGAATTTATAAAACAAATATTCAAGCAAGCTTGAGGGAAAAAAAGAATGATGCCCGTATGCCAATCAACTTCACTATTTTTCAAATCTGCATATAGAATAAGATATCGGAGAATATTGAGCAATGCATTGAATAGTTTGATTCTTCGTTAAAGTTCTTTTGTACACTTTATGAAGTGAAACAAAACGAACATAATTGATATAATTGAAAAAGTCCGATAACAAAAAGATCCTACAAATAGCCACTGTAAACAATCGAATAAACAATTTTTCTTGTGTGTCGTTTGAAAAAACAATTCTAGTCGAATGTAGTCAAGATAATATCTATTCAAAAAAACTGGTGTTATCGAAATGGCTGTTGATATTGAATTTCGGTTCGACGTGATGCTCTTCTGTTAATAAATTCCATTCTTGAGCTATGATTCAAAATTCAAATGAACTGTGATTCATCTCGATTATTTTCCAGAACAGATGGGTTAATCATCATGCATGAAAAAGGAAAATGATTCATATGGCGAGTAGGAGTCAATCGAATCATGGCAACAAAGATCCCACGTTTTTCTCTCGCTTTGCTTAAATATATATATATATATATAAGAGACTTGAGTAAAAAAAAGACATAAATTCAAACACATATCTATCAAGAGTAAAAAAATATGCCTGCAGGCGTGCTAGAAGTGAACATAATCGAAGGGCGTAGTCTTAAAAACTGCGATTTTTTTGGTGAAAATGATGCGTATGTTGAAATTTATATGGACAAACGATATAAACAGCGTACAGTAACAATTAAAAATTCGAATAATCCAGTATGGAACGAACGATTAACTTTCAATATTCATAAGAACGATGGTACAATTCATTTTGATGTATACGATGCTGATCTGATCGGTAGAGATACTATTGGCAAATGTCAAGTTAATTTGAAGCAAGTATTTAATACTGGTGCATTCGATGAATGGATAAAATTACCTGCTCACTTTGGGCTGTCATCTCGTGGTGAAATTCATGTCAAAATGAATTTTACGGTAAATAATTCTCTAGTTTGGTAAACTTATGTATTATGATGATTTTTTTGTTCATACATTATAGCTAGCGTGAACAACGATTCATCACGAAACAAAAGTACATACTGATAGATCGTAATAATTTTTATATTTTTGTTTTTTATTTGAATTTAAATACACGACTTTTTCTTTATTCAACGTTCTCACTATTTTCCTAGACTAGAAGGATAGGATCTAAAAACGGAAATTTACCTGTGTGTGCCAATCTGTCTGTCTGCAATACATATCACGTAATAAATATGGCACAAAGGATTTTTCATGGCGCATATTTCACAAATAATTTAATATTTTATTATCTACCGAATCCATCATATAAACTCAAGACCTGAAATTTTGTACACTATGTAGTGCTAACTATTTATAATAATCTTCAAGATCTCAGAGTTTGCTTTCGTTGCACACGAGAACGAGAAATTTCAAAATCGTTACAGAACTTCTGGAACATTCTTTATTCTATGCTTCAGTCACAAACTCTGATGTCAATTGTATTCATACACTACCTACTCTGTTTAGGATAACTACCCTAGTCGAACATCTTGTAAGCAAGATCTTCAAATCTTGGGATCGGTAAGCAAAGGTCTTATCAAGATCTGGGAAAGATAATTTGTATGTACATATCTTGGTTGTATCAGATAAATCTGTACTTAAGATCTTGGCAAGATCATGGAAAAAAGATCGTGTACTACTATCTTCTGATAAGATCTTGAGCGAAACAGAAAGCGACATCATTAGTGTATTTGCATGCTCTCTAGTCATTCACCGTTTTCTTAACGCACACACGACTGTATATAAACGGTATCATCGAACATATGAAACACAAATTTTCAAAATTGTTTTTTTCTCAACTATTTCTCGATTATTCGAGAGAATGCTGATCTCGATCGATGATCAATAGAGGACTACCCTAATTGGTCCGGCGGATATCGGACCAATTTATAGCCAGTCATAGCCCAGCAGCTGACTTGCTGGAAGTATTCGGAAGAGAAATAATTAAAATGAAAATAAATTGAAAAAATATTAAAGAATGCAACAGGTTTTATTTTAGTGTGCATCCAAGATTTTATGGATTCTTATGTAAGATCGGTAATTAGATCTTGGGTACAAGATACCTGCATTATCTTGTACCTAAATTTCCAAGATCTGTTAACATATCTGTACCTTGTATATTGACCAAGATCTTGCTTACAAGATGTTTCTCAAGGGATATTCCACATATTATTTCTATCTCTTTATTTCCAAGAATTTATTTCGCAATAAATCACGTTTCTGAGTTTCAAATTTTGACCTCATGACGGCCACACTCGCAAGTTTTTGCCAAAACTGTTCTCTTTATTACGGCACGCCCTATTAGAAAACTTGCTACCGTAGCCCCGTTAGGGCTAAAATGTGGAACTCACATATATTAATTAGGCTTACTAAAATAACGGGTGGCGCAGAATAAATTTGACTGTTAGTGTTTTTATAATTTCCCCTCTATCATCCCCATGATTGAGACACCTTTTTTTTATCAAAAGATAGCGCTTGAAATTCTCTATAAAATTAAATATAACTAGGCCCAAAAAATTGTTTAGATATATTTGAAAAAAGATGAAAAGTAACGACACATAAAAAGCTGTGAAAGGTGACGGGTTGGATATAATGAATGACCGCGATTGCATCTCATTTTTCTATCACTTACTTCATCCTATTAGAAAAGCAAAATATATCAAGATATGCAGCGTGAGAAGCTCTACAATTTACTAAGAACAATTATAAAAAGAGGGAATAAGAAAAGACACGAATTCATCTTCTACCAAAAATTACATTATTTTCGCAGGATCGAAATTTGACCGCCCAAAATTGTGTCCATTTTCAACACAAAAAGTGCGACTATAAAATAAACAGTCATGTAGGTTGTAGAGCTTTTCACGCTGCATCTATTGGTATATCTTGTTTTTCTAATAGGATGAAGTAAGTGATAGAAAAATGAGACGCAATTGTGGTCATTCATAATGCCCAACCCGTTATTTTTTACGGCTTTTTATATGTCGTTACTTTTCATCTTTTTTTCAAATATATGTAAAAGAATTTTTNTATTTTACTTTATGATTCTTTGAAACAATTTTCGCTGCTCTGCTCTTTATTAGGATAAGTTATAGTGTGTATTTATAAACCAGCCATGAAGACAAAATGGAAAACAAAACATTTTGAAGAACGTTGGCACTGAAAACATCTTGACTTGAGAACGTAGGCAGTGTTTGAAATTTTACATGGGATGTCTTGGATTGAAACATTGTTCTGAACTTCTTTTTTATCTGTAGATTCTTTATGAATCATCTCTTGAACTATGTTCTTGGAGTGTTTTTCATATCAATCACTTGAATGAACGAGAGACAATCAAAAAAATGATTACTCCCTATATACGCTAGGTTCTCTCTTCGTTACAATAAATATGTGTGTTCATTTTATTGATGTAATTCATATAATCTTCCGAACATTCACGTTTCTTATGATTGATGTTGAAATCGAAGGATGATTACAATAGATACCATGTAATGTCATCAAAATCAATATGACAAATTAACATTAGCTGCTCTAATCCAGTGGTTGTAGTCATGATAGCCATGTCGGTGGAGCAACAAGTATAAAGTACTTATGAAAATATAGACCTAATTATAAATCCTCCTGTAGATAATGTAATGACTCATATTTCGTATGAATCATGTAGAGTTATGCAGCTAGTTGGAATGATCACAGAACAAAGAAAAAGATGCTCTTCATAGGACTCGAACCACGTATATTCTGCTATCCGGGCAGACGTGCTAAGCCGTTTAGACTTGAAGAGACATCTAATATTTCTCTTATGTATAGAAGGGAATACTCTATACATAACAGACAACAAAATTTTATACGAGCAGTTTCATGATCTAGCTAATTTTGTTACGAATAAGCAAAGTTAGTTGAAATAAACATATTTTGCATTACTGTTAAGGAATATGCTAATATTTCTTGCAATAATATTTCCAAAGAAAGCCTGAGCAGGATAGCTATGGGGACTTTGAAGTAGGGATGTAACAATACCATTTGGAGACACATAAAGATTGCCAATTTTCACAGTGAAAATCTACCAATACCAACCTATACTTTGCGTTAGTTATAACCAGCGAAGTTAGCTCTATCGAATAGGAGTATATAAAATATCAATACCAACAGAAAGTATCCCAAATATTGGTGAGTATTCGTAAAATTTACCGTTTTTTACCAATACTGGGGATACTTTCCGTTGGTATTGATATTTTATATACTCCTATCAGATAGAGCTAACTTCGCTGGTTATAACTAACGCAAAGTATTGATTAGTATTGGTAGATTTTCATTGTGAAAATTGGCAATCTTTATGTGCCTCCAAATGGTATTGTTACATTCCTACTTTGAAGTGATCAGTTTCTGAACTTCATTAATTCATATACGTGCTCTACGAACAAGTAGAACCTATTCGCCTCCAAAAAGCCTGCAAATGATTCGTTTGTTCTTTATTTTGACAGATTTTCATTTCGCGTGCCAGTATAATTCCCACAACAGCGCACTAGTAATGATCTCGAATATTTTTTTTCGTATGCCATTTTTCTAGAGCAAACATTTCTGTATGGAAAACACAAACGCTTTCTCATCCAGCCACTATTATAGTTTCGGAATATTTAGTGAAACACAACAAGGGTATATTATAAAAAGGGCTTTTGTCTCAGTTTAATTTTTTAAATATTAATCTCGCTCAGTAACACAAAAAGTCAAATCTCTTATGATGGTTAGACAAAGCAGAGAGAAATGAACAACTTTTGTCTCAGGCGTTTCAATTGATTTTGTATAGTTAAAGTGTTAGAGCTTTGATAACTTCGGTTCAGCTAAAATAGCTTGAGTGATCTGAATTACTCCAGGCAGAATTGCTCAGCTGGTCCGAATTACACCAGGCAGGTTTTAAGGTATTTGGCAGAGGTGTTCTTGTTGTGCATATTATATTGAAATGATCAAGTTACTCGCCGAAATACTTTCAGCTCCCATAGAGGACTGTTTGTGCTATCAAATGATATACAGTTTTATTTGATTTCCGTAGATGTAAGCGAGTCATGAGATGGGGAAAATGAGTATAGCAATCTTTGCTGAAGTAATCCGAATTACCCCAACAGGCTCGAAATGTCTTATTCATTTATTTACTACAAACTATTATTTTAGTAGTTACTTAGCTAATAGTAACTATGTAACTACAGTTGTTACCATTTACAAGTAACTACGTAAATGGTGCAGTTACCGTTACAAGTAACTATGTAACTACTGTAGTTACGTAGTTACTAGACAAGTAAAGGTAAAGTGCCACCCCTAACCAAGGCACCAAAGATAGCTTGGAACAAACAAAAAATTATTGAGTGGCCAGATTTACATAAATTAACGTATCCTAATCGTGCCGCCAAAGCTGAATTGCTAAGCATCGCATTTGAAAATGCACCAGAAAAGAAATATGTAGTGGATGAGGCTGCTCTGATTTACGGCGTTCGAATCTTAAGGTAAAACATACTGAAAACAAGGAATATCAATGTACCGTACCCTTTGCTTATCCTTAAAAGGTTACCAGTAAAGCATTGCTCATTGAACCCAATTGAGCTAGCATGGGCAGGCATGAAAGCCTATGTACACGAAAACAACACTGGCTTTCGATTATCTGATATTGAACGGTTGGCCTCAGAGTGGATAGCTGCGTTAGATCTACCAACAGCTAAGAGTTACTTCTCTCATCTTCAAGAACATGAGATTATGTGTCGACAAGTCGATGCTCATGTTGAAGAACTTGAAGAACAATTGATTGAAGACGATGAAATCCAGTCCTACAGTGATATCGAAGAAAATGAACCTGATGGATGATATTCATTTTTTAGTTCCTTTTTAGAAACAAAACTTTATTGTTTTGAAAAGTTATCATTTTTGCCAAATGCACTGCAGTCAAAGTCTCCAAATATGAGTGGGACACTGGTAGCAGTATGTTTGATAATCCACATGGTAATAAAAATGATGCCATAATATTCAGCATAGTTGAAAACCTACGTTTGCATGATTCGGGTATATGTAAACTGCTAAAACAAGACTTTCTCGCTAAAAAATTAGTCTAATCACATCTCTCTGTATGAGAGCTCTAGCATTTTACTGGAAAGTCGTGGAAATGTCGGGTTTGTTTTGTTTGATAGAGAAGGATATGGGCTATCTGTTGATATCCTCAGAAAAAATTTCCATGGGGATTTCTGAAACCCAAGGGTTTCCGAAAATCCAGATCTCTCGAAAACCAGGAAGAACGCGTGGAAATTTTTTGGTTCTTGAATACATCGATGCCCGCAAGTCTTCTCTTTACAACGGTGAAAACCGTAGCCTTCAATCTACTCTCTGTGAAAAGTTATTAAAAAAGCAATGTAATCTCTTCTATTTTGAAAAGGATAATAGTTTATGAAAAAAAAGTAATTGAAACGTTATTTTTATAGGATATCACCTTCATTTTTCACAAGCGGTATGGCGACAAGTTCAAAGCAAAGAATTAGCAACCAATTATAATCAGAGTTGAGTATTTCCGTTTAAATGAAAACGATTTACTCGATTATTTTGAAAAAACATGGATTGATGAACAAAAAAGAAGAAACCCTTTTTATCTCCATTCTTGAGAAATTTCAAATATACTTGACTCTCTGAGGAACTGGTCGAAAGAAGTCTCAATTCGATCATAAATTCTGGAATATTCATGATCGTATCATCGCTACTGCACCTTAAATCCAATAATTCGGTTGAAGGCTGGCACACTACCTTCCCTAGTCGCATCACAATAAGTCATCTAAATATCGCGAAACTGGCAATGAAAATTCGTTGTGAACCATCAAAGATTGAACCTGAGTATAACTCAACTGGTCAACTCATTCGACGCAGTTCAACTGTATCGATTCTTAAAAAATATGGTAGCTAACATTATTCTTTGGGTAATTTTTTTCTTTAAATTGCCTTTGTTTTAATTACTTTTTTTTGTTTATTTGTTCTCAACTTGTTCATTATTATTTTATGTATTATACACAAGATAAACATGAATTAAGTGATCAGTTTTACATCTTTCAAAAAAAAAAGAATTAACGAAGAGCAATGCAACGAATAGATAGTGATGAACGTAGCGAAAGAGAATTTTCTGCGACGAACTTAGGGGTCACCTTTAAACTGAATTACAGTAGCGTTCCGGTCGTTTTAAGTACCTTCACGTAAGTTCAAGTTCAAAAGTCCCGGATTTCTCCCTTATCTATAACTCTTCTATATTAAATAAAATAGATACCGATTCGATGTCACTGATTAAAGATTCTTACCATGTGCAAGTAGTTACAGTCTCAAGGCGAATGCTCGCAGTAGGGAAGCAGTTTATGAGGAGAAGGGGACTGAAATTCGAGCCGCAGTGTGTAACGATCAACTTGATTAGAGTAGCTTGTGTCACTCTCGGCAAAGATGTTTATTAGGCTACTTCAAGTTATCCAGAGTGTAACGACAAAACTAGAGTGTCGCCTATGTCGGTCGGCATGATGGTGTATTGTGTCATCTGACATCTCCAGAGTGTCCTAACTTCATAAGTAACACACGTATATATAGGAGAGAGATAGAAGAGAGACAGGGGAGAGAGATATTAGAACAATGGAAAGAGAACAGAAAGAGAATGAAGGAGTGTTAGATAGTTACGTTTACCTAACTCTTTATTTCTTCAAACCGACTTCAACTAGAATCACTTCAACTACAACTTCTCGACTTCACTTAGGTCTCTTGACCAATAGATAGATATGAGAACAAAGAGAGGAAGTGGTCGCAGATAGAGCCACTACCTAACACCTCCACTCTTTGCCAGTGAACAGCTTCATCTGGTCCCGAGAAAACAAACACGAGATACTAAATAGAAACTAATAAACGAATAGTAACACATCAACAAGAGAAAACAAGAAAAAATATAACTATAAACGATCACGAACATGAGTTATAACAACTTAGAAGTAAAGAGAGAGAAAACCATAATGTAAAGGATTAACATGTTGCCTAGTGATAAATTCCGTGTTACATTTTTTTCTTCTTTTTACGTAAAGATAAATGTCCCGAATCAGCAGAATAATCAGTTTGCAACGTATCAAAATAAATACAAATATGTTGATCAGAAGTATACACCATTCATCATGGTAAATGAAATCGAGATAGAAACTAATATTAAAACAATTCTGTTGCGTTTCAATACTTCCTAATATATTTGGATCAATCAAAGTATGAGTAACATATAAAGCAACATTAGTATCATTATACTTTCCATGAACATTAACTTTAACTAATTGCAGAACCGGACTAAGTACACGATGAACTACACCAAGATCATTCGACGAATATAAATTAACTTGATCATTTGGTATTTCTTGTAATTCATCTTCGCATGTAATAGGATTATCAATGGCTACTGTAGATGAACATGTTGATTGAGTAATTGTAATTATCGGGGACGAAGTATTTGGTATATAATCAACAGTTGAATCTTCAGTTAGATTTTCACGTACGAATTGATGAAGCGATGAGGGTTCAGGCAAAACGACAATAGTTAATTGTTGATCATCATTTGTTATTCGTTCAGGTGTTGAAGATTTTTCAATTTTCGAGGATGGTGGAGAAGGTTTATTTGAATTTGATCCGCTTAGATCAATAACTGCTGAAAAATTATCTTAAGATGTGGGGGACGAATCTGGGGTTGTTTTGGGTGATACGGATGAGGAATTAACATGTTGTACGGTTATTGATCGTTGTTCAATTACTGATAATGTTCGATTAAATGATGGTTGATAAGCTTGAGCAATAGCAATCTTAAATGAAGACCAATCAGGAATATTCATCTTGTTAAAACGAAACCATTTTGCAGCAAAACCAACTAAATACGATTGTACGGCTATATATTTATTCAATGGTCGTAATTGTACGCTATCAAATATACATTCAGTATCTTGTAACCAGTGTAGAACATCTTCATCACGAGCACCACCAAATGTAGTAAGTTTCATTATTTGTTCGTGGACGAAAATCTGCATGTTTTGTTCGTCCATACTTAATAATAATACTCTTGGTAAGCTGTAATAAGCGTGTTGAAATAATTTATAAGGAGACTGGATTATCACCAATAAGCGTGTATGTTTCAAATACAGTACGAGGAAGCAATAGGATCATAGCATGAGAACTGATAAGAACAATAAGTTTAGGATAACGAGTGTAAAGATTAACATTAATCTTGATATAACACCGAGAGAGAAAAAATAACACTGGACAGGACGAATAGAGAAAAAAACCGAATCGAGGGTGAAAATCTTCTCGTGTTCGACGAATTGTGGTCGAAATGTATCACGAAGGGTCACGGCACCAATTGTTAGATAGTTACGTTTACCTAACTCTTTATTTCTTCAAACCGACTTCAACTAGAATCACTTCTACTACAACTTCTTCCAATCCGACTTCACTTAGATCTCTTGACCAATAGATAGATATGAGAACAAAGAGAGGTAGTGGTCGCAGATAGCGCCACTACCTAACAAGGAGAATCATCGAAGCGTGCCATCAATATCGGCACACAGTGCGCCATCATAAGTTTACACAAGTTATCTGTGTAATAATAGAATAAATACTAACATGAGTCGACTATGGTAGTTGAACAGTTAGTGCAGGTATGTTTTCGGGTTAAAATCCATCTCTTAATTTTATAAAAATTCATGTAAATTATTGCTCTACCATTTAACGAATCCATGGAAAACATCATGTGAATCGCAAATAGAACTCGAGTAATATGAATGACTTGATGGCAGTGAGTTTTTCAAACATCCAAAATATGTGGCACCACAGTTTCTGTAACACTGTGAAACGCTTTAATACTGGCTTATTGAACGCGCTTCATACGTTTTAACTAAACGATGCGCAATATCTTCTCTAACAAATGACTGTTTCCCAACATTTGTTTTAGTAAATGCGGGGCGCATTAAATCGGCCTACAATAGCGCTTTATTTCTTCACTAAAATTCATTACATGTGTCTCCTTTCAGTAGAGGAAACAAGTCGTATTTATTGTCCGGCACTGATATAAGATCAAGATGTAATTCTAATGTAACTAACCCTTCAAATCTTTATTCTCATTTTTTTTCTTCAATGGATGATAGATTTGTTAAAAGCAATTAGTTCTCTCTGATTGTAACGTAGATTTGTAAAAGAAAAATAAATATATTATAGAATTATTTATTAGAGCTTCTAAAAAAATAACTAAGAACTTGGTGAATAGTTATACTTTAGCTGCAGATCGCTGTCTTTGGTTTTGATAGAGTGAAACATCAAGTAGGTGGCCATTGATTTTGTATTGGTCAACATGTGTGATAATATACTCTGCGCTTTGTTCATCAACACATACAATGAAAGCGTACCTATAAAAAAAAGAGCTAACTAATGTAATGATATTCTCAAATATTTAAGAATTCAATTATGAGTGAAAGGTAATTTTTAGATAAGTTTGAAGACTATGAACTCCTGGAGATAGAATATTGATCAGACTAGCACGATGAACTGTTAAATAAGCTGAGGTCTGGAAAAATAAAAAAATATTTAATCACAGATGACGTTCTTCACTGTAGCGGGTCATAGGAGACTTTGAGCAAAGATAACATTTATCGAAAGGCTAATTTTGTCTCATAATTAATTTATACCTTCAAGCATATCTAGTGTATCTGGTATAACAAGATTTCTAAATCAAGAAGTTCCTAAATTTAAGTCTCCATTTGGTCGTCATAACTGATATTCAATGTTCGATAGTCTCCAAATGCGATACTGATGCCATCAAGGGGATGATAAGAGAAAACATTGAAAATTTCCAAGTCCGCAATTGATTCTGCATCACACAATATGTGTTAAGACGCATAATTGTCGTTTGACTACTATTCGGTTTATGTTTTCGCTCTTTTTCTCCCTTTTTTATTTGTTCTGGATCCATGCATGCGTGTATATATAGTTTTGCTCTGGTATTATTCGTTCACTCCGCGATTCTGAACACGCACACTTATACTTCCCTCTTTCGTTTCTTTTCTGTGTTATATCTTCTCATGAATATAGGGAGGTATAAGCAGAAAAAAAATCTGAAGGTTATGGGTGTGGTTGTGAACTGATCTGGGACTGAGTTCACTATACGACGATACCTACACCTGCATTCTCAAATTTTAGATTGACTTTATTGATATTTTCGCCGAAAATTTCAGTATTCTTGCTAATATTAAAAGGGAGATCTATCGATAAGAGTGAAATGCATCAATTCTGCTATTCAATTTTCGCACTGTTTTTCTGAAAATATTGTGAAATCATGCAGCAAAATTAATGCATTTCATAGCCATTCAAAATCAGGGAATTGAAACTATCGGAAATGAAAAATCTGTTTTAGCTGTATGTTTAATAAAAATTTTAGCTCTAGAGTATAAAAAAAATGAACGCATCATTAACTATTTATTATCGAATAGTTGGAGATATTGTTCATTTCGTATTAAAATAAAATTTAATGCAGTAAAAATTATATGTAAAAATATTGACTCCTCTTACCCAAATAAAATTTTACTTTCGTTTTTATTTTTATTTTCCATTTTTCTAGTTGTAGAATAAGTGATGCGTGCTGGGCAATACTTTAATATACGACAATTGACAAATAAACGTTGCAAATCGTCTTCGCTGACATTGTAAGGTATTTTTTTAATCGCAAGTTTCCTTTTGCTAGATATTTGATTATCATTGGAGATATTTGAACATGCATTTGCATATTCTACATGACATTCATCTCCAAGAAGGTTAAAATTTATGAGTCGCCGAATGTTGTTTTTGGCGTCATGAGATGTACGATGATACACGAAGGCATACCTATTTAAACAATACTGGTTTAGTTATTGAGCAAATAATATAGACATATTATACTTCAGATGTGATGTTGAACGATACTGCTTTATTACGACCTTTATAGAACCAGTGAAATGACTACGTATATCATTTTTATCTACGTCACTTCTTAATCCCGATACGAAAAGTGTTTTGCCATTATTTATTATTCGATCAAATGCAAATTTCTTCTTCGCATGACTTCGGTTATTGGTATATCTGTTATGAGTATTTGTTGTAACTGTTGATGAGCAACTCTAAATAAAGTATATGCCTGATTATTGTCAATTGCATCTTATCAGCCTGATTTCAAAAATAAAAATGATAATGCATACAATTAATCAATAATTTACTCAGATCAAACCCGATCTGCCGCGTATTGTCAGATGGAGTTAAAATCCTGTACTACGCAGTGATCAGACTCGGTCGGTCATTATCTGGTGAGTAATGCTTATTTTCACAGCTTTCTTCACTTTAAAAGAACGTCTTTTTATCGAACCCTCCAAAAAGGTTTTGTAGATTTCAACAATCGTTTTCCAAGCTTTTTTTACGCATTTAGAAGCTTTTAGACGCCTACGAAACCTTTTTGGAGGATTCGGTAAAATTACCTTTCTTTTTAGAGTGTTTCGAAATTCGGATGCCAACTTCACTAAAACCCAACGAAATATACGAGATTCGAAACTATCAGATCTAGCGATAACACCCATTCATATCCGAATTAATCCCACGCTATCTGGCAAAAGGCATAATATGTACTTTTAGTTACTCCCATAAGCGATAAAAGTAAGAATAGTAATTAAGAGTGAACCTTTCCAAGTGACTATAAGTAGGCTTATAAGCAAAAATGACATTTTAGCACTTTGAAAAGTACTAATTACGAGATCGCTGAACTTCGCCAATGTGACTTTCGTCAATTATGGGCGAGAGTCCAGGGGTGCACTGGCGAATGCTCATGAGGTATTGTGTTGAAATTTAGGTGCACATTTGTCAATATTCACGAGAATTTACTCGAAAAATTCACTATAATAACGACAGATGTTGAACCATTCAACTATGAATGAAAAGTTGAGGTATGTTCGGCAAGTTGGCAAGAACATAATAGAAACTGTATTAGAATACGGAAGAGTCCATATTATATATAAATATCATCTGCTCTAATAATTGAGAATGTGAGGAAGTTTCGCCAGTATTGACGAATGTCCACCTGACTTTCGCCTATTGGCAGGAGTACAGGACGTATATTGGCGAACTTCGGGCTACTCGTAAATAGTAGCTCTCTTTATTCATGCATCTGCAATTTTAATTAATCAGGTAGTTGCACTATTCCTGAAGTCACTTATAATGTAGGTATGACTGCTCACTCGATATTCTCTACGGTATTTTCTATGAATATTGCAGGTGCTCATTTGATAGGTTTTACTAAAAGCAGTGTTTGTTATATACCCTGATAGTGCGCAAAACACTGCAGTGATTGCCTAATGGACAAAGTACTTTGAAAAGTATAAAAATTAATACGATATATTTACTTAATAGAGCAAAAAACACTGTTAAGTATTTTTGTAAGTTGAAAAAGTCAAAATATGTCGTATAAAAAGTGAAAAATAATGAGAAAAATTAATTAATTTAATTTTATTAATATTAAAAGTACTTAAAAGCGTTTTATTTTCACTTTTGTTTTTGTATGGCTTATCACAGAAAAGTGATGCCACCCACACCCTTTATTCTATAGGCACCTCGACCACTATTATTAACGCTATCTTAGCCATCGAAATTTAAAACTTATCCCTCATATTGCCATTTCCTAATTTGTTGGTGATGGGTTAGCAAAACATGCAGTTTTCGACTAGCCAAATAATGATTCTACCTGGTAGGATCAGAATCAAAAAAAATTTTTTCAGATAGGTTTCTGATTTTCGATTGTTTGAAAGCTATCGAATAGATGTCAATAAGAAGATCGGAACCTTAATATTTATGTTATATAGTCGTTCAATATCTAAACTAAACATAAACTAGATTTTTCCATGAAAGTTATCTTTTAATACTTAGAACGATAGTGCTACGAACTTGCTTGAACAAATGCTCGGAGTTTTAGAGAATTGAAAAGAAAAATTGCAATCAAAGAAAACATGACACTAGTCATCAAATCGATTTTTCTTCAAATTTCAGATGTCACATTAGCACCGCATATAAGAAATAATTGACTTTTGGGATACGGTATAAAATTAATGTTTAGAAATTTATAAAATATTCATGGTGCAGTGTTGTTTCTAATTATACTGTTGTTAATCGTATAATATAAAAAAAGGTTTTTAGAAATTTATGAAATTAAGGGATATAATTATCCATCCAACGTACACGGCGTTTCTAAATTAGTAGAATGAACGAGTTGTTCGTACATTTCGTTCTTTCAGAGCATGCTCTACAATTCTTGAGGGTATGTTTGCTTTTTTCCAAAACTTGAAATTTCGATCAGTGTCGACGAATCTGGAAGCCGTAACGAAACAAAACAGAACACATTTTTTAGCGTTTATGACACTCAAAGCATGATTTTCATGCCTGCTTGGACTCTTCTTGGCTGGTTTCTTTTCTTGCAACTTACTGTACTGATGTTGTGATTAACTTGTCTATGTGTTGATAGAGCCTTGTCTGCAGTAGAATGTAGTGAATCCATTAGCTCTTGTAAAGGGAGAAAATAGTTGTCTGAACTACAATTGTTCGTAACAGTTCGATGAATGGTCGACGATGTAGGAGTAGTTTCATTTTGTTCACTAGTTTTTGTATCCTGTTCAGATAGATGCTCACTCAAAATTGAATTGATCAGTGATATATCAGATCCACTCCAGTCCGATGCATTATAAAAATTGCCTTCTCTAAAACAATTAAAAAATAAAACAGAATTACTTCTGATGAAGTTGGTAATTTTTTTCAAATAATTTAATAAACATCTACATCTCTTGTATAAGAAAAGCAGCTCATATTTATCAATGTGTTTCTTATTTAATTATTTCTGTCACAAGAAATAACATGTTCTGAATATAGCCTATCAATTCATCCTGTATATTTGTGCAATTAATTTCATACAGAGTATATTATATGGCCTACAATGATACAGATTAGTTCTGTGCTTATATTTAGTTATGCATACTATGCAATTATTATAGATTACATCATAGGGTGAATCTTTGAAGCAAACATAAGCTTGAGTGTGGTTAGGGTGTGGTCCAGTAAAACGTCTATGCACACACCCACACACCCTTCAGATTTGAAAACTCACGAAAAGAAAAGCGCTTTTTACCGAAGAAAAGAATATAATCTGTATCTCTAGAGAAAACTTTTCATAAATATGGCACAAACGGTCTCGAAAAGATTTCATCACACTCGCAATTTCAATTATGTATTCTCGTGTAAATATCTCTGTACTATTAGCTTTAATAGCAAGATCTCATTTGGATTTTTTAGCACTCTCATATTGCGAGGTGCCTGCTTTCATGCGACCTGCATTTTGCCTCACTTTCAAGCTATGGAGAGATCTCTCATCTAACTTTTTAATAGCTATCATTTTGTCAAAATGTATTTTCTACAAACTCCTTTCAAAATCTTCGAGATCTTTAATTACTAACGAAGTTCTTGTAAAATAATTAAGAATAATAATTTGAAGTTTTTATGAAGAAACATCACCGTAACTATTTTAGGAAATGATCTGAACTATATTGGTCATTTTATTTTTTCCATCACACTTATATCTGGAGTGCAATGAATTAAAACTTTTTAACGGTTTATTGCAATGTTTTTATATCCTTCTTACGTTGGAAATATCAGCTAGTTTCTATTCAAATCGTGTCGAATTTTCATTATAATGCAGACAAAAAGAATCTTTCATCTTTAAAACTCTCAAGAGCGAGATATTTATACAAACTACTATCTGGAATTCAACAAAGAAAATTTCTTTTTAGTTTAAAAAAAAAGCAGTTAAGTGTTATTTTGATTTTCTCTTCTGTCTTCGAATTCGTGTTTTGCACTGTATTATTCACTTGTATTCGAACTCGAGTTTAGAAACGCATCCATCATTTATCACTTTTATAACAAAGGACAAATGTACACAGCAAATCTTTTCTTCACTTTAATTTACGGTAAGACGTTAATTAGGCATCACTTTTATAATGTACATGTATTCTACAAATGGTTGCATGTATATCCTGACTTGCAACAGGTATCTCATATAGATCAGCAATAGACAGAAAATCAATCGGTGAGATATATTCTCATGTCAAGCGGAAAAGTGTCGTTCTGGTCAAAAATGAATTCTCTCTCCTTTGTGTTTTCACCATTCAGAAAAGATTCTGGCAACTTTCATCAAGATGATGACTAATTTTCACAATCTCCGTCGTGGCACATATTTTCTGATAATTATGCTTACAAAATTAATAATACTCTAATTCATGTTGATTTTTTGCTACAGTTGTAGTACATCCTCCTGAATCATTTTTCTCCTTGCCATTCGATATGCATCCTTCCCTTAGATAATAATCGAAAGCATTTTTCGTCTAATGGGAATTTGCTATTTCACTTATCAAAACCATTTTTCTCATTACGCTTTTCATTATTCTATTGCATATTCATTTTTCCAGTGTTGGGAAGTGATTGTTCTGATGAAATACTTTGGTTAGCCTAAATGTGTTCTACGTATTTGTTATAGCACAGGTTTTTAGGCATTTTTGGCCAAACCGCCATTTTCCACTTGAAACGATCATTTATGCCACCGAGCAGATATCTGTCTAATCCTTATATAGGTGTCCTTCATTTGGCGATATTCATAATTGTGAATCAGATTCGGTGTCAACTGCATCGTGAAACGAACGATTCATAACAATGTGGCGTGCAAATTAAGCCAGTGACAGTTGGCAGCTCTTTTCAAAAGAACCGGCTATCAGTTTCAGTTCTCCATCCACGAACTATCATTGACCTTCACTTATGAAACAGTGTTATAGGACTCAAAATAAAAATAGTGTTTCAAATAATGTATTATGTAAAAAAAGAAATTTTTTATTCGAATGTGAACAACAAGCGCTTTATCCTTGAAATTTTTTGCAGTTTTATTACCCAGTCAGACAAAAATAGAGAAAAAACTTGTTTTTATGCGTTAGAATGTGCGCTTTTAACGTTTTTCGAAGCGTTTTCAAGCGGAAAAAAAACGCTAAAATAATGACGTATAAACGCGTCTTTTGCCGATCTTTGACTGTCTGGGTAGTAGGCCTGTGAAAGTTTGCGAACCGAAAATTGGAACTGGCCATCAAGACTACTTGAAAGGAAACAAGCAAGTGACACCAGCGCTAGAGAAAAAAATAACCAGTTCATAGAAGTGTGCGCTGTCCTAGGCGTATTTAGTAGTCATTCAATATTTCTTGAAGCCTTCACAATTTTTTCGAAAGCTTTACTTTTATTTCTGTTCCTTCAGGAATACAACTAGCTTTCAACAATTTATGCTCCATTACTATCTATGACTTGTGGTCAACGCTCTGGTAAATAAAGGATCCCGCTTTCATAGAAGTTCTAGGACTTTTGCTCAAAGAAGCTGACGAGATCTATTTTGAGGACGTTCTTGTCGTTGCATTTTTTCTGATGTAAATGGTTAGCCAGAGAACAGAATCAGTGGTAGTTTGTGGGAGATAAGTCTAGCGAGTAAGTTGAATGAGGAAATATAATACGTTTGAGCTTCAATAACTTTTCACGCGCCGACTTTGCAATACGAGGTCTGCCCTTGTCATGTAAAAAATAAATCCTATCTTTTGTCCCTTGAGTTTTGCTGTATTTCGGTGTAATTTTAGCCAGTTGGAATAATTTTCCAATGAATAAACCCTTTTACTCTCCCACAGAAGCTCGTAATAATCTGCTTTGGGTGAATATCATTTTTGGGCGTTGTTGAACCTGTTTGTTCAACTCCAGCCTCTTTTGCTTGTGTGTGTGCTTGTGGTGAACGTACAACATCCCCTTTTCGTTGCTGATAATAACATTGCGGTACTATTGGTAGTTGCAGTGAGACGCCATTAATTATGTACAAGCCTCAATCCTGTCTTGAAGCTGAATCGGTGGTCAATCATGTAGTATTCAAACTTCATATTTTCACGCTTTTTCTAATTCGTCCATACGTGTTTCCAATGCAGTATGAGAGCACTCAAGTTACTCTTCTAAACATCATGTAGTCAATCTAGGATTTTCTTCGATAAACTGTTTTAAGGCACGTGTATCCACCTCGAGTCGTCTTTCGGATTGAGGTCAATAGCCGAATTTGAAGCTATGGCTCTTGAAGAGATTGACATAATGTTGCACTACATGGGTGACGAGTGCATTCTTGTTCATCGTGCCGTATATGTTGCTTCTTGCTTTTGTTGCTTTACGATCCAAAACGGATTTCATGAAACAGAAGCACTCGGAGTTCTCTACGAGATATCTTCATATCTATATTATTTTTGCTGTTTGAAAGATGCTCGTACCGTCTTAATATTCTCTTACAATGGAGGTGTTTGCATTGTAAGTTGGAAAGGCTAGATATTTTTACATCGAAAGAAAGCTCTCACCGCCAAACTAACAAGGTAAACATATTAGATCCTCTTGGCTTGTCTAGAGGGAGATATTCGATTTTTCAGTGAATTTTCTCGATAGGGCCGACTTTCCCAGCAATTTCATATTTTCGAATCTGGATCTGAAACTTTTTATGCATGAAGATCTCAATGAGAGTAGCTGATAGAAAAAAAATCAGAAGTTTTGGAAAACTCTCTTCGAGATATAGATGTCTCAAGCATACAGCTTCTATAGAAAATCGACAATATTTTGAGAGATTCATATCTCGAAGAGGGCTTCCAAAACTGCTGATTTTTTTCTAAACACTAGTCTCATTGAGACCTTCATGCATACAAAGTTTCAGGTTCAATTTCGAAAATATGAAATTGCTGGGAAAGTCGGCTCTATCGAGAAAATTCACTGAAAAATCGAATATCTCCCTCTGGACAAGCCAAGGGGCGCTAATCTTTTAACCTTGTTAGTTTCGCGATGAGAGCTATCATTTGACCCGAAGATGACTTATCGTTTTACTTATCAATAAAACACCTCCATTGTTAGTATGGAAACTTCTAGAGCTTTCTCAACTTTTCCAGGAAATTAAATAAAAAACGCAAAAAATGTCTTGCCAGCGTAATATTTTACACTGATTCTCGGAAACATAACATAGTCTAATGTATTTTACTTACTCCAATAGTTTATAATGCATTTGAGCATTATCGTTATCGAAGTTCTTTTGGTCGTCTTCATAAAAGCAGTTTCTGGTGGGCGGTGCTGACATTGAATTTGGCGTGAATTGATTAGATGACACGATTGAATTTAGTATTATGATGGGTTTCATGTTTGTCGGCGCTATTGTTGCAGCTAAATTACGATAGGAATTATGTTATAAAATCACAAGAAAAAGACGAGAGATGATAAAAAAAATCATAAATTTATTTTATATTGATGAATTATTATATATATCACGAGAAAAACTCTAATTTATCAGCATTATAATCACGTTTGATTGTTGATAATTAATCTTGAAATATGTGCCATTATGTCCCAATTGTTTATATTCCTGAACTAGACATTGGAGCTAGCAATCTTCTATTACTATTGGGCGCACTATATAGTGTTCAGTCGCAATATTCTATCTTCTTCCTCTTGTTTTGCTTCCCTGTCCTATTTGCTTAAATATAATAAGAAATATATATTCACGTTTTTCATATGTAGAAGAGTCACATTACAATAATTGATTAAAACTAGTAGTGACCGATATGACCTGACAAAATGCTCAAGAAACAAACTAATGTCTTCTTGACTTTTGCATTGGTTTCAAATCAAGAAATCCTTTCCAACGAAAAACGGTTTCGTACTGCAAGATTTTTTTCAGTGTATGCCAGTGATAAATTGTAATTGAAAATCGTACCAGTAAACTCGATAACGGCGAATAATTCTCCTTAGTGCTTAGAATTTTACCTCGATTGTAATAATTTTACGCAAACATGTAAAATTAATTTCATTTTTCCATTTCACCATTTTGAATGACTCAAAAGACAACAAAGTCTCTCTCACTAACTGACTCAAACCAAAAGTCAAGCTCTAGTTGAACCTTGGTTGATTAGGAAAAAGTTTAAAAGCGTAGCACCTTTTGATAAAAAAAATTGTGTACACTCAAGTAGCTTTAGTTCAGTAGTGAATGTAAAAGTTTCACGATAGGCGATGATTGCATTAGAAGTTACGTCATTTTATTTAGAAAATCTGTTCTGAAATTTTTGCATGACAGTGACAACTTATTTATAGCATTTTTCTACTAGAAGAATATTTCTTGTTGAAAAGGAGGATCCTTTTTTTACACAAATCCCGGTTTTCTGCATCGATGCCTAAATCGTATTCATATTTATAGCTAATGTAACAAGGAAGATAACAGAGGCGATGGAGTGAACTGTAAAAATAAATCGTAGAATACTAAACCCTAGTACTAGAAAAAAAAGTTTCATAAACCCTAAAAGGGTTTATGTTTTTGTTGGGAAACTCTAAAAGCGTTTATTACCTGAATCGTTTTATGAAAATAAAGGTATTTGAACATAAATAGGATTTATTGTACCAGAATTTAAGAAGAAAGGTTTATTAATCTACGATGAACGATTCATTATTGTACGATGAAGGTTTTCTTGTTCTACTTTTCCGTGAAAGGGTTTTTTATTCTAAGGCGAAGGGTTTACTCTTTTACCCTTCCATAAAATAGTTTTTGTGCTAAAATAATTCAAATCAAATACGCTATACAGATATATAAAAATGATGCTGGCTTTTACGGTTGATGGCACCAGTCATTATTTTTATGATTTTATAGGTAATCTTACAATTGAAACACAGAAAAGTGAAAAAAACAGAATAGTTTTAGCCCATTCTATGTTGAAATAGCTTGCTTTCTCACATTAATAGATTTTCTTTCTTCATTTAATAAGATCATTCTAAAAAACAAATGACAATACGTTCTACGCAGATGAACCCACCACAATGAACGTAAGTGTTTACTTTCAAAATCGTAAGAAATTATTATTATTCTAGATAGCTCTTTGTTTCTACAGATTTTTTAAAACAATCCAATCAAATACATTCCAGATCCATCATTCCGGTTACTGAGTATTTGAGAACCGACAAAAAAGAAATTGACTGCAATGTACCGGAATGCTGCTTTTATTTTCCGTCGATTTCCAGGGTTTTCCTACAGGAACCCACCGTAGTTCTCGACCTGAGTACTTATTCATTTTTAAATTCATTTGGTATTTTTATTCTTTTAGTTCAATATGAAATCCTCAATCACGATTTAGTATGCTTTTTAACCAAAAAATCGTTATTTTTATTTCGTCCCAGGTCGAGAGTTCCGACCAATGAATCTCGTTGGATCCGACTGGATCGTATTGGATCATATAATAAAAATAAAGAGAACCGACAGGATCAGGTCGGATTTTTAACCAGGCTCTACAAGTTATCTGCACTGAAAAAAAAGCTCATTCTGAACCTGATCAAGATTCACAGATTTGCAACGAAAAAGAAACCTTTTTCGGGTTTCCTAAAAATATGGTTCCATACACAACTATTTTTAATTCACATTCAAATTGGCTTCATAACTGAAATTTCGTCACAGTTACAATGCACTCGATCTGCGCTTCCACGATTTGAACTGATAAATTTATCCCCTACCTTAACCCCTTAAACTATATCTATCCCCTAACTTAGCCCCTTAACCTTAATCTATCATTTTATCTATATCGATTCCGTAACTTAATCCCTAAACTATATCTAGCCGCCTAACTTAGCCCAATGGCCTTAATCTGTCCGCCTAACGAGTTCCTTTAAATTTAATCTATCACATTTTCTGTACCTATCTCCGTAGCTTAACACTTGCGTCCTAATCCAACGCCCAAAATATTCTCGCAACTGTGTTTAACTTCATCACTTAAGCGAATGTACTTGGGCTCCTCAGCAGAAAACTTGTATGACTAGTTTTTATTGCTACTAGAAGTTACAGTGCAGTACGTTGTTTTTGATAATCTTAAGTACTTCAACCATTTCGGTTTGCCATGACTACTGTTTATTGGAAATATTTTGCTCAATGTGGAATATGATTAGCAGTGAAATAATTAATGATATAAGAAATGAAGTTCGGGTAAATGCTTTTGCTTTAATGCTCACGTTTTGAAATGAAATTTGAAGAGCATTTTACGAACTCTTTTCACTTTTTGACACCTGAAAAGGTTTCACACGAAAGTCTACATGATACTAAACTCTTTTAACGCTTCGTTTTTGTGAACAAAACATTTTAAAGCATGGTAAAATACCGCCGAATCTTTCTTTTTCAATGCAAGCAATTTGTGCTGAAAGAAATCAATGTTAATAAAAGAATAAATGGCACTCCTAATGCATTTCAATTAATCAGAGAAGACTGCTTTTCGTCGTGAATAAAAGGAAAACAGAATAATGCTATTGTATGAAATGCTGGGTGTCATTTAAAGCTGTTCTCGTCGGCAGCGCCTGTCTTTTACTTTGTTGTATTCTTTCTTCAATGAGGCAGTTAGCGAATTTAGGACGAAGCAATTCCGTATAAAATTGACTAGTGCAGTTTGAGTAATCGAAATTCAGTTCGATTCACTCTTTCGTAGAACTATCGTCTCTAAAGACTGAATTGAACTCAGAGAGTTTTTGTTTTGTAGCACAAGAAAATAATTACAATTACATGCAGTATTTACAAAAAGTTAAAGCATGTTCGACTGCTCCTTGGAAAAAAAACATCCGAATTCTCAAATGCCGGAAACGAAGGGAACCGACTGGATTCTGATAACAGAATCCTATAGGGTCCGACAATCGGAATCATGTCGGATGCAGTCATCAGAATTCATTGGATTGAAACACATCTGATAGAATCCGATTGCCGACTTTTCATTTGGGTTTAGTAAAAAAAAATTCAAAATCGTACGTAAGTATAATTTTTCATTAAACATTTCTTATTTTTATTCTTTTAGTTGAATATCAAATTTAAATTGATGGTGGTTATTATTTTAAAAGAAGTAATTTGTTTTATTTGGGTTAATGGTAATAACAAAAGGAAGAGTAAGTATTATTTCAATTAAATTAATAATTTTTGTCTTTCAACATCGGGCGAGCAATTTGAACAATCATCAGTATTTTAAAATTTGAATTAAAGTTTTCGTTTTTCTCATTTAGATTTGCTTCAGCCACTCATCAAACTAAACATGAGTCTTGGCTAAAAGTAAGTTTGTCGAAATCCGTTAGAAGAGTATTTGAAAGTGTTTAGGAAGATACTGAGCCCTTCTATATACCCTTCTAAAAACCCTTTAGAAAGGTTCATGAAAGGATTTATTGATTTCCGACGCCCTCTAATAAACTCTTTGGAAAGATTTCGGAAGATTTCCCATACGGTTAAAAGGGTTTATTATACGTGTCACTTTAATAAACCCTTTAAGTATTTTTTATTCTATGTTTATTTTGTACACTGTAGGAAATTCAACTTAGGGTTCTTTAGATACAAGCTATACGACACACGGTATGAGGATAAAGATGAGACAATATTTTGTTGCTCGTAGATATGTACTAGAAGCGAGGGTTCATATTTACTATTATTGATTAATTTTACAATGATATTCTCATTCAGTTGTGTGTTCTTAAAATATGATTTCATTACCAAGTTCAAAACAGTACGTCTGACTACTGTCGGTTTTATCAAGTGATTCTTTTTCAGAGTGTTAAACTGGCAACAATCTATGTACAAGACTAAGTGTCACTGATATTAGCGTGTATCAGAATTGTTTCTATAAGAACAGGGATATTTTTAAAATTATTCATGTAATTAAATAGTCAGAAAAAAATCGGATTTAAATTATTATCCGTTTGACTTGATAAATGTGCTCTACCAAAATGTCAAACTACCATTAGGTGTATAATAAATCGTGCATAAAAAAGTTGAATACAGATTTGTACCAATATTTCACTTAGCTCATAGATCCTATGTAACATTAGTATTCTGTTGAATCATTTATCTATTTGTCGTAAGCTATCAGCTCTTAATGACGAATGCTCTTTTAATCATATTAAAAGGAAATATGGCTGCTTTTTCTACGTAATGTTTCAACTTATATGTCTGAAACATACTGAAATTAATATCTAGAAAGTTTCCCGCAAGTAATTTGATATAGATCAAAGTTCTTCTTTTACTAGTAGAAAAAGCATGCCAATAGGCGAATCCAAAGCATGAATCAATCTAATATCTATTGAAGGGGCAACACGTTCTAAGAATATACTTTATGTGTGCAAATAAATTTGTAATAATAATAGCTAAAATATTTAGCGATAAGTGTCTAGTAATAACGAGAAATTAAAAATAAATCTAGTTAATTCTAGTTTATAAAATTAGTTCTCTCTTCCCAAGAGAATAATCCTAATTATCAGGTCTGATAAGATTTCAAGTGAATTTTTTAAGACCAGCTAATTTCTGTCGGACTCCGAGTTCCATAATGAAATCTGGATCCTGAGAGTTGAAATGCTACATATCCAAGTCGCAAAATTTGGTGTAAGATCTTTCGAAATCAGATAGGATCGTACGAAAATGCATCGCCTCTGAAATCTTACATTAAGTCTTACAATGAGATGCTTGAAAGATCTTACTATCGCATAAGATTTCCTATAATCTTAGAGTCATATCATACGATAAAAGAGGATCTTTCAAGTATCTGATAGTACAAATTGATGTAAGATGTTCGCACAACTTTTTGTCGGATCTTACACGATCATATAAAATCAGATGCAGAATCTTATGAAATCTTAATATCTGATTGTTTATCCTGAGAAATAATAGCTAAAAAGAAAGCACTGAAAAAGCAAATACCTTTTGATAGATCGGCTTTGATGCTCGTTGACTTTGACATTGTAAACATATCCGTATCGGCGCACTCTAAAAGCGAACATGATAGTTAGAGAGAGTACTACTAAGAAAAAGGTGTACCTTTCAAAGCAATTGATTTTTCTTCCGTATTTATATCAAGATAAGAATCAATGTATCGCTGTATGAGTTCTTGTCTAAACATGGTAGAATCAATTGTGTTCATCGAAGAATCATGTGAGATATTGCATTGACATGATGGAGCTACCACACTTGCATGATAGTCTTGAACCCAACTAGGTAAAGCAAAAGTGATTGACTCGCTCCAACTGGCATCTTCCGTGAAACTCTGTGCTAGTGTACCAGCAGATAAAACTACAAACTCGTTTGGATGCTGAAGAATTCGATGATAACGAATACGATGTTTATCTAGTACTGAAGGATCAATGAGTAACTTTCCGTGCTCGAGACAAATGGAAGAGTTTTTATGATCACTTATTTTCCGTAGAACTTCACGCTGAGAAATTGGAATAATGTACCAATGATGAACACCACCTTCATGGTGATAGTCGATTGAGAAGAGACCTTGTTTAGTAGAAGTCAATGGAAAAACAGCGCCCGGACCATGTGCTCTTCTCGCGCATGGAACGAATTGGCGCGTCACTTTGCTACCACCCAGTTTGAGAAGCGATTGCTGAGGTAAACGATGAATATCAAAATATATCCGAGATTGTTTTTGAGAAAAAAAACTTTGATTTGGTAACAGTGAAATGTTGACTTGGCGTCGCTCGTCACTGGAACGAGATAAGGAGGACCAAAAATTGCGTTCGTTTGTTGTTGTTGTTGTTGTTGTTGTTGTTGCCTTGTATTGAGTAAAGTCGTAGTTCTGATCAATTTTTTCGATGGAGTAGATAAGTTCATTTGAACTCATTTTCACAATCTGTTCAGGGATTGGATTTGACATCATGTTTTTTCGTCGCTTCTTCAAGGCTAATTTACAATCAGCATTCAGTTGAATTTTAATGCCACCGAACTCTTTCAAAAGTTTTTCGTGTTTGTAGATAAAACGAACAAGATTCTGAAGTTCATATTCATTGATTTGTAATATTGGAACATCCATTGAGATTGATGACATGATTATTCTAATACTTTGTAATTAAAAAACTCAGTTCAATATAATAATCGTAAAAATGTTTGTACTTTAACGCTACGGCAAAATGCACTCTTGCTATATCCTTATACGGTTCGATAGAGTTCAAATTTTGACATCGTCATGATCTTTGTATTCTGAAATTGCTCGTACTAGTACTTAGGTTGATATCAGTTAAGCTTTCAGAGACATAAGGATATTCCCCATGTAAAAAAATTTAGGGTAGAAATCAGATTATAATCGATCAAAAATTCATGAAAAAAATCGATTATAATCGATTTTCAATCATTTTTCAATCGATTTTAATCTGATTTCTACCCTAAATTTTTTTTACATGGGTCACAACTATAAAGACTCATTGAAATGACTGAAATAAATCATTGATAACAAATCAATTTCGAGAGACACCGTAGGTTTATTAAACACTGTGCCTCATGCACATACAAATCTATTGAACTTTCTTAATCAAAATAAATGGTACACGTCATCCTCTATTTCAATGAATACCACAGTACATAAAAAATTTAACAAATCAAAAATCTTCACTTCATGCCTTTTAAGGAAGATTGACAATCTTGTATTCATTTTTATATTCTCTTCCTACTTTATTAATATTTATTTATTCAATTTAATGTGACCCTTCGTTGTAGTTTACAACTTCATCAGACATGATTCTATGAACTATTTTTACAATTTTAAATTATAATTTAAGATCATACAGTTTTTAATATTTACATTGTGTAAGAGATAAAACAGATGTAAAAGGTGTGGCAATCTGACTGGCTCATTTACTTTTTTCTTTCTTCTTTTGATATGCCTTACATTTTGTTTAATACTGATACGGAAAGGAATCATCAATGCAGAACAACACTACTACTGTCTTGTCCCATATCACTATTAAATAAAATGTAAGGAATATCAAAAGAAGAAAGAAAAAAGTAAACGAACTAGTTTAATTGCCACACCTTTTACATTTGTTTTATCTCTCACACAATGTAAATATTTGAAACTGTATGATCTTAAATTGCAATTTAAAATTGTAAAAATTGTACATAGAATCATGTCTAATGAAGTTGTAAACTACAACGAAGCGTCACATTAAATTGAATAAATAAATATTAATAAAGTAGGAAGAGAATATAAAAATGAATACAAAAGAGGTCTTCACTGTGCTAATACATGAAAGATAAATATTTTTATGGTTTCGCCACCAAAAGCAGTCATCTTACTCCGGAATCAGTTTGAACGATTTCTGGAATTGCACGGAATTCCGTCAAATTCCTTCATTACAACTTCAGCTGCTATGGCCGAATGGTTAAGATGTTTGACACATATCTATAAGATATATGTTCAAACCTCAGTTCCATCAGTCATAGGATGACTCAGGACAAGTCACTAATGGCTAATTTTGCCTCCGTTCACCCATCCGATAGCAAACTGGCTACGTTATTGATATACATTATAGCTTCAGTGGCTAGTATGTGGTTAGTCAGTCTGTACGGGCAGCTTAAGTGATTAAGCGAGAGGAGCGCTGAGTCAGGCCGGCCTTCTGTTCAAAGCTACATTTAGCAATAGATGTAGGAAAAAATCGAGCCTAGCGAAACTGCTCTTTGACAGCACCCCACACTACAAGCTAGCCGAAAGACCGGGTATCTTCTTTTTCTAATTACATCGTCTATTACTATTCTATCTTCTCTCACACACATACTGATGCACTCTAAACATAATTCGCTTATTATTCAACCTGTACCCAGGATAAGAACCTTTGAAGTTTCGTACAGTTTTACAGAACCTACACCGGTTCGGATCTTTATCTGCTAAGCCTTTTTAGGTTCTGAAAATCGATACAAACCCCAAAGGTTCTTATCCTGGGTAGATGTTTAGTAAAAAAAAACGATTTTTTTTAGACTGCGATCCGATTCCGGTTTGGAACTCTGGAATCGCACAGAATTCCAGGAATCAGATGGAATTGGTTCCATGCACGGAGCTGGTTCCGGAATGTTCAACATTGCGGAACAGGATGCATTCTCAAAAAAATCTGCTGTGCTTTCTAAAATCTAAAATTAAGGCATAGTCTATTCTGTTATGTTTGTCATGAAGAGAGTGACTTGCTTGCTGGTGTCTGTTACGATGTCAGAGCCTGATTTGTTAAGGTCTGTAATGTTACCTCTAGATGATGGCTAGTGAATGTAAGAGACAAATCTTACTTTTTTGTATGATATGTAATGAAAAGAAGGAAGAAATAACAGCCTTATTAGTCTATCTCATAATTAGCAGAATGATAAACTCATTACTGTCTATAATTGGTAGCGGAACGGGAAGCCGCAAAAATTTCCCTTTTGTGAAGCTCACGTATATTTTTGAAGAAAATAGCGAGTGTAAGTTTAAGGAGCAGACTTTTGCGGCTCCCCACCCCCTCCCCTTACAGACATGCCCACCATTACAAACATAACAAGCTAATTATTAATAAGAATAAAAAGTTTAAAAAATGAGGAAAAAACGAAAAACTAGGGAAAATGCGAAAGAAAAAAAGGGAACCAACCAAAATACAATAATCTTTTGAAAATGTAAAAATAAATGAGAGAGATTTTGCTGTGATGATCAATTATTTTGAAAAATCAGTAGTCTGAAAAAATTCTCATTTTACTCATTTGTACTGGTTTATCGAGGTTTCAAGGATATACGTGAGTTCCACATTTTAGCCCCAAAGGGGCTGCGCTGAATAGCTTTTAAACTCAAGCTCACCAATTTTTTCGCAAATACATCGGAATTCCACAAAAAAACATTACACCATGACTCAGGATCAAAGATATATATATATATATATATATGTATGAATTACCTTGCAGTAACCAAAAATTAAAAACATTTTCCCACCGCTATCATCAATAATGATATGTATTAAACTGCGTGATATCTTCAGGCTGTTTCGATTTAATGCACAACACAAACTTATTTGGAGAGATAGAAAGAGTTTGTCTGTGTGAGTGAGAGACATAAATAAACAGTAAAAGAGGGACTCATAAATTATTAGACGGAATAATGCCGAGAAGCGAAATATCGAAACTAAATTCAAATAAAAAATTCCCACTAGAAAGAGCTTGAAACAAAACTAGAATGACCAGAACCTCGAAATTCACAATCATGAGTGTTAAAAATCATGGAAGTTCTTGAAATCACTAACAGTGCACTTTAAATTTGAAATGAATTCAATTTTGTAGAAAATCGACTTTCAAAAGTTCATAGCATTTTGATAGTTTTATTATTCGTAGTCATAATTTCAAATTTTTGAAAATGTTCGATTTTTACAGTATATAAATGAAACTTGAATTTACTGTTCTATTTTCAAGCAAATAGCTATTCATCGCTGAATTCATAAAGGCATTCCTAGAATATCCTTTGAGAATTTATATAGGCATTCCGTATTTCCCAGTATGCTAAACGATTACTCAAAGTCAATTCCATTCTTCAGATCATTTCAAACAAACGTGCCTAACATATAGTGGCTGCTTTGTATGTTTTTCGAATTCTTTCGTTACCTTTCAATTCAGTTTTCACCGTAAATTTGGTACGGATAATCGAATCCGCCTGATCCTAAATATCTGAACTATGATCAATCCAAAAAATTTCACTCGGTGGAGGCAGTTTTCAGTGGAAACTATTAGTCTACCAGCAACCTGGTGGTTTGAGCATTCAAATGCAGGTATTGATATGAAGTTATGTTTTCAACGCAAGTTTCAACAATGTTCATGAATTCTATGTAAATATTCAAATAAAATCGATATCATCATGATTCAAGTAGCTTTGTGTTTATCATTTTGTTGAAAAATCAGCTTCTGTAAGCGTTGTCAAGTGTATGTTCATGAGACTGTAAAATCTGTCGATGTCTATTGGTAAGCTGAAGATGATCGAATAAAGGATTGAAAATTCCACAACACTAAGAATTAAATGAATTAGAAAACAAAAACAAAAACAAAAACAAACTATTTGAATCATTATGATATCAATTCTATATGAAATTATGTCCTCGATTTTTATCAATGCCTATGCCAAAAGATATGAAGTCTAGGGGTGGGCCATTAACATTAATTTTATATTAATGTTAATGTTTCTCCTTAACCATTAATATTAATGCTTAATGTTTTCTGAGAAAAACTTAATTCATTAATATTAATGGTTAATGAGAAACATTAACATTAATTTTAAAATTAATGTTTTCATTAATCATTAATATTAATGTTAATGTTTTCATTAAAATCAATGACTTAATATTAATGGTTAATGTTTTCATGAAAGCATTATAACTTTCCATATTAAGTAATTAACACTTTTGGAGAAAACATTAGCTATTAAGATCAGCCTAATTCAGTAATATGGAAAAAATTAATGTTTTCATGAAAACATTAACATTAATACTAATGATTAATGAAAATATAATCACTAATATTAACGAAAACATTACTATTCATACTAATGGTGAATGTTTCCGTTAAACATTAATATCATTCAAGAACATTGACATTAATACTAATGATTAATGAAAACATTAATTTTAAAATTAATGTCATTAATTAAGTTCCGTTAAAAAAATGGTCCACCCCTAATATGAAGCCAAAAAAAGAATGTCATATTGATTCTTATCCCGTTACTAGTTTTTTTTAAATTTTCGTTTTCAGCAGTTTTTCGTTCTGATTGACGTGGTATAACATCACATCTGGTGGATAAAGTTTATGTTGATGGCAACTCTTAAAATTCCTAAGCTCTTATCATTGATCAACTAATTTGGGATTAATAAATCACTTGCAAATGAGCTTATAGTAAAATTACTTTTATTTTTCAGAATTGCAAGGTTTTCTAACCTTTTCAAAATGTTTCAGTTCTGGAGCCTCGCTTTCGTAATTTAATGCATTCGAGATTTTGTTCACTCAAAGTATTCATTTTTGGCCCTTGCTTTCTCGAGCGATCGACACTAAACTCCATGAAATATAGGCAATGAGAGATATTGTATAAAGAAAAGCTATCAACGGAAACAGAAACAGAAAAATATGAATGGCGGTGAATCAAGAAAAGAATAAACGAGAAAATTTCCTACATGTGATGCGGTTACTCGTGTGCTGTTGAAAGAATGGATCATGTTTTGATTGACTGATAAATTACATTGGAAAAAATAAACAACTTAAAATATGAGCTGTACAAGACGTATTTGGATAGAGATATACAATTTTTAGGTTCTAAGTTCGTGGCTATACAATCAGAATAATTTTCAGACTTTTCGCGTCAATTTTCAAGATAATCCTCAGATCGTTCGGGAAAGGAGTTTCAAAATCTTGCTAAATTTGGTTGATAACGCTATTTAGGTTTTAGCTTTGACTTCTTTTAACTCGCAACAGTAGTGCGTTCAAAACAACCACTCATTGACTTGGGAAAATGTCTATACGTAAGCTAGTAAAAGACCAGGCGCATTTTCGTATAAATTATCACATTAAAATACATTCGTTTATGATTCCTATTCGTAAATCTCTCTGAGCATACATTATATCTGGTGTCTGTTTTGTTCTCCAACACTACTGATATTGAAAAAGATGATCTGCATCTGTAAAATAGTTGAATTTAGTGAATATTGCAAAATGTGTACTCCTCTTAGCACAAAAGAAATGACGATGTGAATTTTCAACAGCGACAATTGATGAAAATCAAACATATTGATGATTATGATGAAAATCAATATTTGAATGTGCAAAATAATTTTACATAAAAAGAGATAAAAGAGGTTATGGAATACGCTGGCTGGCGTCCAAACTCATCTTTAAATGAAAAACCATTTAATGAATTAATTTTGAAAATAAACGAAGTTTCATGATAAACAATTCATGAAGTTTTTTTATCTGCCACAAACTCATGAAAGTGTGTTAGATTTTTCACGGTATTCCATGCGTTAATGACTTTTTAACAGTTAGTAACGCGTTAAACACCATAAAAAATCGTATCTGTTTTCACGCGCGAGGTAATTTAACGGCTTTTCTTGTGAATGATCAGATTTTTAACGAACTATCACTTATTGAGATTCGTGATGGTGAGCGTGAGTGTGGGTGTATGTAGGATGATCTAAGTGCAAAGTTCTTCTCATCATCCATACAGCCACATTCACACATCCTCATGGGTTGCTTTTTCGAAAAAAACATTAATTGCATAAAACCATGAATGGTTCGACGTATTTTTTAACGGTAATTATGAATATGTTACTCTTTTTACGCTTGAGATTGATTATTGTAATGAAATGTGCTAAATAAGAACACATTTTTCTTGCTTTAGACTCATATTACTACTGCACAAGAAAGAAATTTGAGTGTCTCAACAATAAAGCAGAATCTAGAAAATCTAAATCGATTCTTTTTTCACCCATGATCTGGCGGTTCTAATGAGATCAGACTATTGTTTATATTTCTTAAAAATACTAGATAGCTTTACAAGAATGCTCACTGACACATATTATTAATCTGATGGAACTATTTATATGGGAGAGAAAAATTTTAGCTTTATTAACTCTACATCTAATCAAATTGCATTTTTTTCTATTCAGATTTTTATGCTGATCCGGAATATAATACTTTCAGAGCGTTCACAAAATAGCTGAATTTGAAATTCGACAAATTCTCTTGGAAAAAAAAACATTCAACAAAAAGTGGTCTTTTTGTAGTCTTTTTAGTTTTTCAAAATTTTTTTCAGCCAAAAAGTGGTGAAATAATATTAAAAATAATATATTCATGATCAAATTTTCAAGCTCTATCAAAGTATTTATAATTGAACGAGAAACAAATTTCACTGAAATTTGGTGTCTATATGAAAAAGTTGCAATTTACTCAACTACGTAGAAATACCATTAGTTTATCTACATATATATATCGAAAAAATATGTGTGAAATATACAGCCCTTATGATCGCTATTTACCTTACAATATGAAGATAGCAAACCAATTTTAAACTAAAACTTGTGCGTTAAAAATCAATTTTAGTTGCTGCTGATTTGATCGAATCTTTAATTTATATTTTATTCAAGACAGTTGACCGAATCTGTACGTGAAGCAAATAAAATCTTGTTTCCAAAATTGTTCATAATAATATATTAATTCTTTGTTAAGAAATGATTATATATGTCGAGGAGGCGTTTCATTATTCGTAGGTACGAAAGTGACATTAGTTTCTTTTTCTTACGATTTTTCCACATGAGTGCACTTTGTATTTTTCTTCTTGCTTCACACATACTTATCATTATATCCAATGTTGTATTCATGTCTTTTCTTTCTCCTTCAAAATAGATGGCCAATAGATGTCCCCATCAAGCGACAATTTATAAAAATGCTGGTCGATGCGATAAAATTTAAGATTATTGAGTGCACTTCTAGTGTACTTTTCTTACACTCAAATTTGTGCACAGATACTCCTAGTAGAATTACTTGTCCAGTGAGTAAGCCATTGCAGCATAAGTACTCAGATTACTCGAGTGGGAAGTCGATAAATTTTATATTTAACTATACTTGCCGTGTACTATGATGAGCATAATGTATAAAAAAAAGCTTAGAATAAAAAATGAAAAAAGTTTATAAAAGTGCAAAAAATAACAAAATTTTGGGAGGATTTAATCAAGGCGCCCTATACCATGCCAAAAACCCTATGAAAAACGTTACGGATAGAGTTTTGCAAATTAAAAAATCCAAATGAAGGGTTTATCAGAGAGTTTATATCACCGTTTATGCAGCTGACAGACGCTTAAAGGGATTGTTATACGTTCACTTTAATAAACCCTTTAAATGAGTTGATGATAGGGTTGATCCCGGTGACCCGACAGTTGAGCCCCGATAGTTGAGCCTACCGACAATTGAGCCTCTTATCAAACATAAAATTAATATACATATATAACGCTTATTTTATTTGAAGAGATATAAATTTTTGTCAAAAATTGAATAGAGCTCTTGCTCTTTTGAAATATATGTCTCTGGGTAATAAATAGAAATTTGATGCTAATTGTTGGAGCTGTTCATTAAGTATTTCGTATTTAATACGTTTTCGTGTCTTTACGACACCAGCCTCTAAGTGTTCAGCCAAGATAAGATTTGAGTGTTGTTCGATTCGTAAGTCTGCTATTGGTTCATATATTGAAGGATTTTCACGAGCTGAATTTTAAAAAGAAACTGGCGATCTCTAATATAAAATAATAAGATAATTGATCGTACTTTGATGGCTCGATTCCATCCCTCTGATGAATTATTTGTTCGTGGAAGTTCTTCATCTAAACGTGAAAAACGTGGAGCACGGCGACGGTTATTACGAATGACACGACCAACAAATGTATCTTCGAAGCAATCAACAAAATCTAAAACATACATGGGGGCATGTGATAAAATTATCTCAAGTAAAACAAAATTCGTATTATTTATTAAATCAGGAGCAGATTCTTGAATTTTTTCGAATTCAACAATAACGAATGGTACAGGCACGAATGCCAAAGAACCAAAATTTTTTAAACATCGTCGTACTTGAGAATCTCCATGTAAAAAAATTTAGGGAAGAAATCCGATTAAAATCGATTGAAAAATGATTGAAAATCGATTATAATCATACACCTTTAATCAATTTTAATCAAAAATAATCCAAAAAACAAAATTTTCATCGATTATTCCTATTATTTTCGATTATAATCGATTATATTCGATGCAATGCGAAGAAAATTCCTTAAAAATTTTGCCATTTTTCATGTACGAAAATCGATTATAATCGAAAATAATAGGAATAATCGATGAAAATTTTGTTTTTTGGATTATTTTTGATTATAATCGATTAAAGGTGTATGATTATAATCGATTTTCAATCATTTTTCAATCGATTTTAATCTGATTTCTACCCTAAATTTTTTTACATGGGCCATCGACAAAAGATTGTTGTAAACCAAGACTCTGAATAGAAAGATCAAATATCGTTATAATCAATGAAAATAATATTAATCATGATCAGTGATACTTTATTTTCCTCCACAGACACTGTTTGAAATGGAAAAAAAAACCACTAATTGATGTCGTTGACAATGACCGTCCGACCACGTTTTCAATAGCCTTCTCAAAATCAATAGTAATTGTTTTTGGTCGACCAGATACATGCTTTAAGATCACGTCAAAAACTTCATTATATAAAACTTCAGCTGTTCCTGCAATCATACAATAGACCAATGGAAGTGTCCGACCATATATATAACCATGTATCACGTACAGCTGTTCAAATAATTGTGGTGCGATCTATATTAGAATAAAAGATAAAATAATTTTGTTTTCAGAACTAATAATTTACGTTAAATTTACCTTGAAGGTGCCATCGCTATGCCAGTGCTCCGAATTAGATAGACGATCAAGATCATCATCAGATGATAATATTATTATTCGATGACTACTACGCTCATTATCATATAATAGAAATCGACCACCACCATTGGTTTTTTGAGTTCATCGGAAATCATTATTTCACCAAATGATTTTGGTCTTGGTAAAGGTAAATCTTTTTTTCTTCTTTTTCTTTCAATAGTACGTTGTGATGATGTATAACTTGGAACAGCTACTCCATTTTCTTTACTAACTATTGTTAAAGCTTCATTAATTATACGTCTAGGTGGATAGTACGATGCTACTGCACTATCCACAATCTTTGACTTAAACTCTATAGCAATTGATTCTTCTGGACATGGCGCATGAACATGATCTGTTACCTTTAGATATTGCAAACTATCAAAACGTACACGCCCAGCACTGCTATTTTTGTAGCAGCGCCAAATCGATTCAGATTTATTGGCGCTACGATAACGAAATCCATCTAACAGAAGATGGTTCTTGTTTTTGGATGATTTCACAATAGACATTTTACAACAATTATAACGTGAAATAAATATTAATTACAATTCGATTAACAAATCATATATAATTGTTGGTAAAATTTTTCGTTCTTATTAAAATCTTAGTCTTACTGAAGGAGGTTATTTTCATCGAACCACTAAGAGGACAAGGTGGCGCATGTTTATACGATTTTTTTCTTATTGAATTTATCGATTGGTTACTTTTTCACTATTTTGTTAAATTAATCAAGAAAGGTTCAATTGTCGGGAGCTCAACTATCGGTAGGCTCAACTGTCGGTGTATCGTTGATCCATCATATGATCAACCACATAAATCACTTTAAGGGTTTATGAAAGGTTATTTTTATGAGATCATTGGCTCCATAAACCTTTGTAAGGATTTATGAAAGGGTGACTGGACAATTCGTCGCAAGGACAATTCGTCGCAATGTTAATTAATGAAAGAGAATATGAAATATCGCTCGACATAATTAAATCAAGTCGAATGTGTTGAACTTAATGAGTAAACCCACTATATTTTGAAAGATATTATCAATCTCGTGGAAAAGCTAATAGCTTGATGGGAAATTGAAAAAAAATCATTAAAACAATAAATTGTAAGAATAAATATAAAAACCTTTGCTCAATGACAGCAGTCATTTCTTCTAAATATTCATATTGCTCTGTTCATTAAAGTGATGAGTACACAAGCTATCAAGAAATTTAAAACTGAAAAGGGGAAAGATATGCTTAGTTATGAAGGTTATATTTATACTTTAGAACGAAAAACCGACGTCAAATTGATTTTTCGATGTCAACGCAGAGATTGCAAAGGTGAAATGAAGTAGCATGGCTATTTAAAATCTAATATTTATTTTTGATTAGGTCGCTGTCACACCAATCCGACGATGGATGCAATTCTTTCGACCAACTGAACACTGCCATGCACCCACACCAGATCTAGTTCCAGTATTCGAACTCAAAAGCAAAATAAAAGCACGGGCTGCTGAAACCGAAGAATTTTCCTAGTACTATTTTACACTCTTTAATGAGATCTTTTCCTTTAGATGCTGCCGGTCAACTACCTCAAGGTGATACACTTTTGAGAACTATTCGTCGACAACGTCCCGCGCCTTCAACGAACAACGACAACCAACTACCTGATAATTTAAAACAAACGGACCGTGGAGAGAATTTCGTNTAGGTGAGTATTTAAAAGGACTAGCTGTAAATATGTCATTGTAAATATTTTCTGTAATTCTGTATTTTTCTTTTATGTGTGCTTTTTTCTGTTATTCTTTTTTTTTTCAATAAAATTTCTCTTCTAAGAGGATCTCTCTCTCTCAATAAATTGTTTCATTTATCTTCCAATAAAAATAAAATGCTATATTTTATCAAAATTATTCTTTTCTCTCTTTGCTCTCTCTCTCTAGATTAAATTATGTTTATTGTATATGCGACGAATTGTCCGTGCGACATATTTTTCTTGCGACGAATAGTCTGCGACAAATTGACTATGCGACGAACTGTCCATGCGACGAATTGTTCGCGACAAATTGTCCGCGACGAATTGTCTCGCGACGAATTGTCCTAGTGCCGCTATTATTCTCATTAAGTGTCTCCTATGATACTCATAAACCGAATGATATCTGATTATCGAAGAGATGAAAGAAATTGATCGATTATATTAAGCCTGAATTAGGAGCTATACATCTGTCGAAACTCCAACCGAATTAGATGCTTAGTCGAAGACCTCATAATTTAAGACAGTTGATAAAGTATGTAGTAATTTTAGATAATTTCTACAAATCATGTATATAGATTTCTAGAAAAACAAATATTCAATAGAAATAGAAATAGAACACTAATTAAATCAAAAGTGTAAGAAAGCTAGAAGAGTGATTGTAAATTGAGCAAAGTAATGAAATCCTTAAGAATATTTATATCAACTCAGCCAACTGCGAAATTTTGTAGAATATCCGCGGAACGCCGTTGTAATTGACTGTATATTGTTAAATAAAAGCAAAATGTATCTCAACGATTTCGTGTATAGTCTATAATTCAGTAAGTTGATTCAGAAGTTGGAATATCTAGTAAAATTGTACAGCTTGATTCTCTTGTAGTCCTCTTTGTCTTATTATAGCACTGATGTACTTTTTGTCAAACCTGAAAAATACTGTCATTCTTAAACTTTTTATAGCACTTTTTTCTATCTTTTGGATCAACACAACTCAATCATCTTATTGTAAATTTAACTCGATTTTAAACTCGGCAAGAACGCGAACAAAATGTGACTCACTTCAATTGATATGAAAAGTTCAGAAGATACTTGGATTAGATCTTAATTGCAGGATTTGAGCTTTGCTCAACAAAAATTTACATTGTAGGTGTTGTTTGGAAAGCCTAGAAGAGAAGTTTTTGATTAGTTAATAAAACAATATCTTTTATTAAACCATAGTATTGTAGTTCAAATTGGCAAACATGAGGTTTTCTCTGTATTTTTCAAAGACAAACACCTCCACCACACAAGTAAATAAATCCTACAAGAAGAGAACAATATCTACTTAAAGAGAATTACTGTTTGAATACACTTTTTTGGTACGTAAAAGCAGAATAAATCTAAATACAATACTCATCTCTTGGAAATCACACTAAAAGCATCATCAGAGAATAATCGTGTAGTATCATCTTCTGAAGGACTCTAAATACAACATGAAATATAGACAAGAAAAATACTAGTGCAATGTTCCGTACATATATTCAGAGTGTATGAAAAAAACAATCGTACTCTACTCTTGATCTATCCCCAGATGATAAGTCAGTGAGATATCGATCAAAATATGAGACAACTTACATAATAGTGAAGAATCATGGCTTTTATTCTAAAATGAAAACGAGTAGTTCTATAAAAACAACAGCCATATACGAGAAATCTTTTAAATAAAATTTTCAATAACTAACCAAAGCATTATAATTAGAGACATACTTCTGAAATAATCGATCCAAAAATTGCAACAGCGCAATCAGTTGAGGTAAATACGATAATTATGTTTACCAGCTATCAAAACATTGCTTCTACCCTAGACAAACATCTTGTAAGCAAGATCTTGGTCAAGATACAAGGTACAGATATGTTAACAGATCTTGGAAATTCAGGTACAAGATAACTGTATCATCTTGTACCCAAGATCTAATTGCAGATCTTACATAAGAATCCATTAAATCTTGGATGCACACTAAAATAATACCTGCTGCAATCTTTAATATTTTTCCAATTTATTTTCATTTTAATTATCCCTCTCCCGAATTCCAGCAAGTCAGATTTTGGGATCTAACTGGCTATAAATGGGTCCGATATCCGTCGGACCAATTAGGGAAGTCCTCTCCCGATCATCGATCGAGATCAGCATTCTCGAATAATCGAGAAATATTTGAAAAAAAATTTTGAAAATCTGTATTTCGTATGTTCAATCATGCTGTTTATGGACAGCTGTGTATGCATTTAAAAACCGGTGAATGACTAGAGAGCATGTAAATACACTAATGATGTCGCTTTCTGTTTCGCTCAAGATCTTATCGGAAGATAATAGTACACGATATTTTTTCCATGATGTTGCCAAGATCTTAAGTACAGATTTATCTAATACAACCAAGATATGTACATACAAATTATCTTTTTAAGATCTTAATAACATCTTACTTGCCGATTCCACGATTCCAAGATCTTGCTTACAAGATGTTCGACTAGGGTAGAAATCGAGATTTTCGAAAAGTGGCTCGCCATTGGTATTTTGAGTTGTGGAGTTGGAACATGAGCTCCATATTTTTGAAAATCGAAATCTCTACTGGCTTCTGGTCGACCAATAGCACTGCGAGAAAAACGGAGCTTAGATTCGAACCAGAGATGGGCATAGGACAGGGCGGTCTTGGCGTCCTGCCCTGCAGGACAGTGTGAGATTTCCATTTTTGTCCAGTCCTGCCACCCATCAAGACAGAAAAGTTAGCAGGACAAAACAGGATAGGACGAAGTTTTGATTTTCGTCCTGCCCTGCCTCCCGCCAGGGCAAAAGAGTTAGCTGGACGAGACAGGGCAGGATAGAAAATCTTATCATGTGTTCGATCCTGACTACAGATGTGCGGGATCAGCTCCGGTCATGGTCACGGTTAGCGTCCCGAACCCGGTCTCGGTACCCGTAGGCGGAGCCAGAGCCAAAAAAATAGAGATTTACCGGGACTGTGGCCGGGACCGGGACCGAAAAATCTAAAATTTTCGAAGAACCGGGACTGAAAATCCAAATTTAACCGGGTCCATGACCGGAGCCGTGACTGAACTTGAAATCTGTGTGATATTCTTAGCTTACTCATTTCTAAAATTAAATTTTCCGTACATCATAAATTCAATTTATTAAGAATTTAAAACAAAGCAACTACGAGCAAAGTGATATTAATCGCCCTTTTCAATGATACTATTATAAGAAATTTTTGAAATAACAGTTGCTCCAATAGTTGTTTGATGTCGCTTATACTCAGATAATATTAAGTTGAATTCATCAACCATCAAAACTTTATAGTTAGAAACAGGCACCGGGATCGCTGGAAAAAAGCTACCGGATCTGGACCAGAGTCAAAAAAATAGTATATTCATCCGTACTATGGCCAGGACCGATAAAAAAATGACCTACCGGGGCTACGCCGAGATTGAAACAAAAAAACCTGGTCACGCACATCTCTAGCCCTGGCAGTCTTTTGTTGAAAATTACATTGAAAAAATTATGAAAAAGTTTTCTAATTTGTTTTGCCGCCCGCCAGGACCGAGAAGCTAGCAGGACAGAACAGGGCAGAAAACCTTATCCTGTGCTCGTCTCTGATTCGAATTCACGGCCTCGAATTTCCACTAGAAATCCATTTTTCTGAAAGCTCGACTCCTATTGGTTCCTGATCAACCAATAGGATTTAGGGGCAAATGGAGCTGAGGTTCGAACTCAAGGTCTCAAATTATGCGTAGAAATCCATCTTTCTCAAAACTCAATTCCTATTGGTTTTCGACCACCAATGGATTTTCAAGGCCAATGGACCTCAGATTCGACCTGCCCAGCCCTGACTTTTCTTCGTCAACCGTTATAACGTATCGATATTTTCTCCGAAACCACTTTCTTTACAGTCAACGTCAAAACAGGAAATTTTCTCAGCACTGCGCAACGCTCAATTCGGTTTGAATCTATTAGGGACGGTGTCACCGTACTTATGGTTATCACCGCCATTGCATCCCTAGCTGAGAAGATCAAGCTATAACCTAGAAAGTTCAAAAGTCTGCTATTTCCCCCTTGCATTACCGCCATACAGATTGATACTATATAATTTCGATAATCATAAAAATTTGGTTTAAAACCAACTGATGGCAAACACAGGTGTATATATTCAACACCTTTCAATCGAATAAAAATCAAGAGAGAGATTACATTTTCGTTTCTTATCTTTTGTTTGATATAGGATTAAACTTCTTTGTTAGTTTCTATTTTGATTATATAGCGATTAATGTTTTTCATAATCACAAACAAGTGTTATCGTTCTTTAAGAACACATCAAGTTGTAACTTAAATAGCAGTTGCTAGCTTATAAACTATCATCATTTTAGTATTTTTACTTTTAAGCGATAGCTGCAGGAGACACATTGTCATATTATTTTATCAAAGTACGAAAATGAAAAGAGAAAGAAAAATGACGAAATAATGCTCTTTGTTTGGATTGCTCATTAGAATTCAAAACTATCGATACTGTGTCAAAATACAACAACTTGAGGGTGCGATTGTGGTTGACTACCGTGAGACACATAACCACACCCACGCCCTCAGCTTCAGATGAGAATCAGGGATATTTTAACATGTATTCTTCTGATTCAGGATTTTTTCGATACGAAATATGCATTTCTTCTAATAATATTGGAGTATTATGATGTATTTAAAACCGAAAACCGTTATTATTGGCTATCTTGATTAACTTTGAAATAAGATAAAATTCTTTAAGAAAAAGCAGAGGTAGATTCTAGTGATGTTAATAGAGTTGCAGGATGAATTCATGTGAAGACGATTAGATATTTGGGCAAGATGTGTCGATTTGAATAGACAACATAAGTGTCAGATCCGTTTGTTGTTGAGTCGTAACCTGCAGGGCATGTGTCCATTGTCCAATCACCAAGACAGCTTTGGCCGACTAATACACGACAGACAAGCGCTGCGTGTGTTTTTTCTGTTGTATTAGGGGCAGTGGCAGATGGAAAATAAAATCCGTAGCCATATTTTCGACCTGAAACGAGTTAATGGAGCAGATTCTCCATGGAATAAGAAGATTTTACCATGAATGCTTTTCAGTCGATCATGAAATCCTTTTCGAAGGATTTGCTGAGCTATTGATTCTGGGCAAGTGAATGTAAAAATTCGTTCACTTTCACCACTATCGAGTCGAGCGTCAATGGTTTCCTTATTATTGAGATACTGAAATAGCCACATTGAATTTTCGACTCTATTGATACTGACAATTTTTTCTCTACTCGGCATAAACTCATCAGCTATTGTTAGAAAGTCTGCAGAATCTTTTGGGATAGGTATCAAGAGACTTTCGGACATGTTCCAACCTTCATTAGAAACCTCTGTTAACTGCAAATTAATCGGATCAGGCTCTTCATTTCGGCCGTCAAACACGTTGCGTGCTTGTTCTAGAAGATTGTAAGTCAAATCGACGGACATGTTACCTTCGATGGTTCTTGCAACTTCTATTCGACCATTTTGAAACACAAGACATAAAAGTAATGGATGCAGATCTACTGGTGACGAAGCCACTAATTCCGCTACATATTCACCCACACACGAGCGTAACATAGTCAGAAGCCTAGATAAATTTACTTTTGCCTTTGAGAGCTTTTAATTGAAAAGAAAGCTCTGAAAATGTGTTTTAAGTATGATTTCTACACGATTACGTTATTAAAATAACGATATATATATATACTTCTTGCACTTGGCTGCTACTCAAAGGAGTTCTCTATAAGAATGTTTTTTCGGCACAGTCCACCTAATTCTTCATTAACGAAGACGTTTTATCGATCATTTTCAAGCATAATCAAGAGATAAACAATCGAGATGCTGCTTATTTTAAAAATAGGTTCACTTATTGTTGCATTTTTCATGATTCTACATGCAAATATTTTTTTAATACATAGAGCAAACTATGTCTGTAGAAACTGTTATTTTCTTAGTATAGTAGTGCTAGCTAGGAAAATTAGTTCTCTTGGTTACTATCTATAATTATTCAAGTTGGTGTTGTCAAGTAATTCAGAAATATTGATCATGGAAAACACAGTGTATAAGACAAGGAAGGGGCTAGAGGTAATTCGATCAGATCTTCACTTAGTTTATTACTATTTACAAATGAATGCATATGATGAGCAGCAACTATTATAGGAACAAGAACTCGTTGTTTCACCAGAGCAAGACTCAACGGATGGGCGCTGAAAAACTTAATTCAAAGAAATAATTTGTGGTATAATTGCACAATGCATGCGAGCAATCATGCTCATCTTCGTCCTTTATTGTGAGAACCTCTCTCGATTTTCATGCTCCGAAGCTTTTCTCTCCTGATTTCTTAACATAGCCGTAAAAGTGGTCCCTATCGAAAATTTCATTGTGAGAACGGTACTAGTACAAATGTTTAAATCGAATTTCATCTCTCAAAAGTCTTGTTCAGAAGTTAAAATGTTAAGTCATTAAAGTTCCTTTAATCCCCAAGAATTTTTTTCATTAGATTGAAGAATGTTTTCTTCCATAGAAATATTCGAAAGATATTTTCACAAGTGTTTGTTTATTCGTTAGCTAATGAAAATATTTTCAACCTTTATAAACGACTGATTCATATTATGTATATCACCTTATTACACAACTTATTAGCATAATTTATCGTTTCTTTAGCGGGCATATTAAAACTGCGTTTCAAGTTGTTGCCATCGAAAAGCAAACACTATTGCTCAGTTTACAGTTCTTTCCGATTTATTATGCCCATGATTCTTTGACTTAAATTTTTATTCTATCCAATATATATATATAGGCATCGTTTTTGTACACTGTTCTCAGTTTTCACTAAGCTTGATAGATAGCAGAAGCGACTTCAAAACTACTCCTCTTTCGAAAGTAAAGATTGTGATTAAATGTTAATTCAAATTTTACATTGCATGATTCTATTACGCACCGTTGATAGTTGATATCGTTGGTTCGATCCCAAGCCCAAACGATAAAATTTCCAGCTAGATAATTCGTAATCTTTTCGGCACATAGCACATGTCGACAAAAGATTTCTGTGGCTATGCTACGATCATGATGTATATAGAGGACTAAAGGAGAAGACTAAGAAACAGAAAAAACTGTTTCAGTTTACTTGGTAGATAAACTACGATAGAAAACCTCACAGCGTTAGAATCAAACAAAGAATGAGTGATAGCCTCATCAAGTGAATTCATATAGAGTGTCGGTCCCGAGTTTGAATATCGTTCAAAAAAGACACGTGTAAATTGTTCCATGGCTTTGATTTCATAATTTGGTGGTAGTTCTTCCCCAACGTATGGTTCTGGCACTAAATAGTTCTTCATTTTTAAACATGAATTTTTTAATTAGTACGATTACATACTCATACTTCTTTCATGCCATTCAACGACACATCCATCCATGCCTAACTATTAAATAAGATAATTGAAATTGATCAGAAAAACAATTCATAACATTTCCTTACTTCTACAACATCAGGGCTTGTGTCGTCTGTTTCCTCCATCAGACCAGATTCGTTAGGTTGCTTTGCACTTTATATCTGTTTTAATTCGTGACGAATTTTATGAATAAATCATTTCACGAAAGTATCAAGTAGTTCTAAAAAGATTGATATATGTGTTTTTCTCCTTTCGACTTTCAACTCGCGATGAAAGAAAAGCATAAATACACCAATATTTTTCATGACCAAAGACACGTGATAGATTTTGTATTTTCTTCTTCCTAAAAAGAGCTATTCTTACCTTTGCTTTTCACCTTCGTGTTTACATAAAATAAAAAATAACAACGCATTTTAATCACATTGCGAAATAAATACAGAAATAAAATCAGTTAAATATTTTTTCCCAACGAAGAAATTTGAGAAATTTCAAGTATGAATAGTTGGTAGCACAATCATTGATAGGGCTATCATATGAGGGTGCGGGGTTTGCGTTTGAAGATAGATTAATGATGTCTTCTTAACATCGAATGATAAACAATGCTAATGATTATCATCCAAATATTAAACTTTCTTATGAAATAAAGACAAGATTTTTGTTTTTAAATATTGTATCCATCAATTTTTTATTTTATTACATATCGATGAACTATATTATTTCTGAAAAATAAACAGCAATTACTTTTGCTTGTACAATCATATGTCTTTTGTATGACTAATTTAGTGCCATCTCAACATTAATTGTTTAAGTCGATACGCCATATTTGATTAGAGTTAAAGCATGATACATAAAGCACATAATCGCTAGTGATAAGTACATCGTAAGCAAACGGACAAATGTTTTCGATAGCTCCCATTAATATTCCTTGGCTATTATAAATCTGAACACCATTAGATCCAGAGGAGACCCAATAACGATTATATTGATCAATTGTCAAACTAATTGCACTATCTGTTGATGGGCTTGCATGTACATAAAAGAAAAGTCTTTCCTGTCATGCAAGACCATTATTAATAGCAGAATATGCATAAATTGCATTGCCAGTCAATGATGTTACGTAAAAATAAGAATCATTCACATGCCATAATCCAAATGGATGACTATAGTTTACCAATTGGCTTTTAATAAAACTATAATTGCTAGACCGATTACCTGTTTGATTAAAAAATAAGAGATAACTATTACTCATAGAAGTTGCAATCATTAATTCCCCATTGCTTGAAAAAATCATATAACGAGCTCCGTTTAAATAAGATGCTGTAATATTTTGAAGTATGGTCAAATTATTACTACCAATAGCTAAAATGTAATTAGAAAATTCAACATAATAAGTTTCATTATAAAAGGCTACACCATAAGGCACATCCTTAAATGGTTCACATAATGGATTACTAACTAAACTTAAATTTCCAGCATACAAACGAGCAGGAGTAAGCGTATTTTCAGAAACTGTAACTAAAAATCCATGATTGTCAATAAACAATGAACGAGAATCTGATACCGGGGTATAAATCTTATTAGATGCATTGAATCTATTCAGTAAGCAACTGGTATCAGAAAAACAAGATTGACTTGTATTGGGAAAAAATCCTTGAAGAAAATAAAGATGAGCTTGCAATGTCAACTGAATTTTGTAAATAAGTGGAAAAGTGTTGAAAAATTGGCATGTATTATTTGGAAAAACAATTAAGAGCAACATACGGAAAATTTGATAGACATAAACATTCTTTGCAGGTTTTGTTGGCAATGCTTATAGTACTCGTATTTGATATTGAAATTAAAGTAGCATTGTTAATGAAAGATATCATGATTGAATTAACAGCAGTAAAGACAAGTAAAAGATTAAAACCAACTGAAGTAAACATCTCTTGAAAATCTTCTTAAATAAAATATAATTCTGAATTTAAAAAAACTCAAATTAACATTAAATTTATACCTATTTTTTTAAAAAAAGAAATAAAAAGCAAAATATTTATTAACCGAATTCTTTTACCGAAAAATTCGTGCAAAAAATTTGATAAATTGTATTAGTATTCTACAAACAGGCAAAATGATATTTACGCGTAATTGAAAAAAGCGTGAAATTAATTTCTACAGATGAACACGGTGTATAAAAGCACTGACTCTATTAGTATATTCAATTGAAGTTTATTGGACTGATTTGTCGTTACTGTAGAATAACATAGCATTTCGATGAAATGAAATTTGAATATAACGAAGACGTAACATATAAAGAATCAGGAGAGAAACAAGTGAACGGTCTTTCTATGTAAATTTATGCATCACTCGTGATACAGTGTAATGAAATGGTATAGCAGAAAAGAAGTTGTTTTAAGGAAGACTTTGATATTTAAAACAAAATACCTTTTATATTTGTGTACTTGAGTGCATTACTCAACAAGGACAATAGTGACGTTTTTTTAAATATAATATTAATGTTTCTAATCAGTAACTCATCTACGAGCATATATCAATGAAAGCCTGTTGTTAGATGAATCTTTTCGTATAAAAACTAGTTTTTCCACCAAATTTGTTTTTCATTTAAATGTGTGACTATCAGTGGTGTTTATAACAAAAACAAATTTGTTTTTTATCCATTCAAATTTTGTCTTTACTGTGAAAGATTAGATAATACGATTTATCTAAAAAGCTGCCTAGGGGGTTATAATTCACATTACAAACAGAGTAGCTAAATTTATCGCGTTTTACAGACAAAATTTCGTACTCTACAAGTTTTTCTAGCCTCTCAAATGTTCCGTATTTGATATATTTTCTATTTCAATCAGATTTCACTTCAGAAATGTCAATTCATCTTTAAATTTCCTTTAAGCCACAGAGAAAGATAAACGAAATATTGATCTTCGAAAAACAAAAATCAAAAAAAGAAATACGTATTTTTTCATCTTTTGAAATCGAAAGTATTCTATAAGATAAAATTCATTTGATTGGTAGCCGAAGTAAACTCTATCATCCTTTTCACCGTATATAATATCCAAAAACACGAGTTTTCTTTTTCCTTCTTCTCATTCTTGACAAAAATGATTTCCTCTATCTTTATTTTTAAAAGTAAAAGTAAGTTAACACCTTCAGTCGCGTTGTTTCTTGATATTTGTAACGATTTGTCCTGATGGTGTGGGTAGCTAGATCAATCTGCTACTCTTAGGCATGTGCGGTGTGCGTTTACTGAACACCGATAGACGCCGACAGCGACGCTCAGTGCGCACTGATGGGTTCAGCGCCACTGATCACCGAAATATTGATCACACTGACGCCGACATCACTGATGCGCTGATACTATCGACGTCACTGGTAAGCGAGACACACTGGCTTCACTGATATCTCTTAATTAATTGTTACATGATACTGCAAGACATGTGCTTTAAATAAAAAATAATGATCATAATTAAATACAACATGTTTTTCAATGTTTTTCTTTTTTATTTGAAGCCAATTGAATTTCAATCATTAAACAATGATTTAATGAACATAAAATACTAATAGCAATAGAAAAAAAATATTTTAATCAGTGATTTTTTGTTTAACACGAATGTTGTATTTAATTATCAAAATTAAATCCTATTTATATTATTTTATTTTATTTTATCAAAGAATGATCATAAAGTAGATGCATATATTTTTCAGGAAAATTAATGGTTAGAGTATTAGAAACGTGAAGAAAATTAATACATTTTCGTCGAAGAATTAGATAAATAAGTTATAAGTGAAAAAATCTTCGACAAAAACAAAAACATGCTTCTACTTTATGATCAATCTTTGTTTATTTAAAGCACAAATCTTGCAGTATTGTGTAACAATTAATTAAGAGATATCAGTGAAGTCAGTGTGCTTGGCTTATCAGTGACGCCGATGGCATCAGCGCATCAGTGATGTCGGTGTCAGTGTGATCAATATTTCGGTGGTCAGTGGCGCTGAAGCTACCATTGTGCACTGAGAATCATTGTCGGTGACAAAAGTGACGGTTTTTTCGGTGTTGCCACTGACGCCGCACATCCCTACGTGTCACAAATGGACCAATAATTTAGTGAACAAAGATTTTGACGAATTCACAATTGATGAGAGAGGTGGGAAAAGAAGTGATTCGTTTTGGGATTGTTATCCAGATTTAGAATTAGAAGCAAAGCAATTTGTTTATCAGGAATGTTCGAAAACAGAAGCAGCATTTACCGTCGAAACGTTGGCAAGATTTATTGACCAACGTTTTTATGAATTAAATAATCCGAAGAAAATCGATCAACAATTAGTAAGATCAGTTGAAAGTTGTAGATTAGGCTTACGTCGATTTGGTGTAAAATTCACAGCAAATTCAAGCCGGCCTTACTTTCTTGGACATGAACGAGAAGATATGGTAAAACATCGACAAGAATTTGTCAAATACTTTATTGAGCGTGAACAACATTTTTATACAATTACAAATGATGCTGTGCCACAGTGGAGAATACCAACAACAGCACCAACAATTTTGCTTTGTAAGTGCTTCTTTTTTTTCTTCATTTCAAAACTCGCCTATATGTTTAATCATAATCAGATATTTTGTCGTCGTATAATGCATGACAAATTAGTTTTACTGCGTGAAACCTTTTCTTTTCTCCATGCCACGCGTCGAAATTATGTGAGCATGTCAATACGAAACGATCAGTAAGTAAAAACCCAGTTCCATAAAATATTTGTGTGCTTGATTTGGGTTCATATAGAATGCCAATCCGAACAACAAAGTTACGAGCAGCTAACAACGATGAGATGATGTCACTTTCAGAATTCATGTTAGGTAAAAACAATTGCCAATTCGATCCATAGTTCACATAGGGGTATGTTCGTTCAAGCGAATTCGTTTTAACAACAAAAAATGCTCTTTCATTTGAATAATATTTAGGTATTTGATTAATTCGATGAAGACCAACTTGTTGCTCTTCAGAACTTGACTAGAACAAAAGAAATTATAGATAATTCCTTTAAGAAAAAAAGAACATTTCGAAACTGGAAAAGATTCAATATGAATAACTACGAAGTTGTTTTCTTATTCAATGTAATTTGAGTTGATCAGACCTTTGAATATTCTCAGATTTCGTGTAGCTCTTGCTTCGACAGCTTGATGAATCTAGAGAAAGCTCTTGTATAGATATAAACTATACTCATCAGACTAACTTTTATGTACGAATGATAAATGCTTCTTAGCGGTGTAACTCTTTAGGTGAATGAGTAAAAGTCGGACTAATTTTGGTAAGGATATAATTTTAGCTTGTCTTTAAAAAATCACCAATCTCGATTTTGTATGGCACAACTACTTCATGCAAGAAAAAAACTGCATACTTCAGAATTCCATTAAACTCTGATGCTCGTCTCATTCTAAGCAGACTCAACCTAGTGAAAATACTACTGCAATTACAAGTAGTTAATGACTTTGTTTTTTACTTAAACTAACCCTGAGAGATTCTTTTTTTCAGAAGTTTTTCGACTTTTCCAATGAGAAGTATTCAACACTTTGGAATATTATCAGGTGATTATTTTAGAACACTAATATGAAATAAATCCATATTTCTTGAACAGATGATTCTTTAAAAGAAAAGCTTGTCCTAATTTGAATATCGTGACTTAATCAATTATTTCTTCAACTAGAAATTTACATTATAAAAAACCAATAGCAAAATTGGATCACTTGAAAGAATACTAAGAAATTTTCGATATTATACTTGTTAAGTAGCCTTGCTTTATCCTATATTTTTAAGATTTGATGTTGTTCAGAAGGAGACGCGGCATATCTCGACAATCCTTTGCTGTATTTTTGAGTATAGACCACTTTACTTGAAGAAACAGAAAGAAACTTTTCAAATTACTGAACAATTTAATTCTGTTGCCATGACCAACAATGATATCTAAAACCAACAAAAGTATAGAACTTTTTTTCTAGGAAGTGCAAAGATCTTACACTTTATAATACAGTAAATGTGCAATGAATTTAATAGATTAAGTAAATATTCAAAACAAATCAGATATGGGCACGACAAAATAAATCTAAAAGAAAAAAATAGTGAATAAATAGAAAGTATCGAGTACCGCTTACATATGTATTTAAAGAAGATTTTGTTTAATCAAGACCAATAAATTCACAACGATAGACCAAAACTTCAATTGTCTAGCAAGATAATAAAATTAAAAATCTAAGCATAATAAATTAAAGGTACTTGGTAACTCGAAATATTTCAAGTTTAACTAAACCAGCAACACATCAACACGACGACGAAAACGCAAGCTAAAAGGAAAATATAAAGAATGAGTATAAAGCGATAGGTGCACCTTACCTATCTATAAAGGACTTTATTCAATCAAAAGCAATTAACATTAACGAGATAAAAATCTAAACAGGAAAAAATAAGCTCAATGAGAACGTGTTAAAGCAAGTACTGTGTCCAATAGATCCCTTGTATTGTATAATATACCAATATGAATTAATTATGAGAAAGAAAGATAGATACATACAAACGTAAGATGTCGCTGTAATCGTTTTTCATAATTTTTACTTTTATAACAAAACATTTGCTTATTATTATAAAGAAGCTGATAATCTCTTTCAACAATGCTCACAAAATGAAGATCGTCATGATTTAGCAAATAAAGTGTTCAGTGAAGCATCATCACCAACGTCCGATACGGTGCAAATTACCAAAGTCTGTTCACGTGAATTAGAAAAACTATTACCATTTGTGTTACATCATCTACAATTCTATCTTCGTTTTTCGATCGTTTAACAGCACTCGAATTAGACGATCTTATTCGTGATCGTTTTCAGCATGTTTTCCATATAAAATATTGTGAAAATGCATGGAGTTTGCATCAACATACAATAAAAGAAAAGAAATTGAATGTGATGACAATAACGACACTTTTTCTTATACTATAATAATAAAGTTGAAATGAAAAAGATTTTCACGAGATTATACCAATGTAACACTTGCAAAGTATTCTTCAACATATGAGAATCTTTAGTGATGAAAAATCATGTCTCTCAAAAAAATGCATTTAAAACTCACTCTGATAGTTTTCAAGCATATTAACTAGACGAGAAAACGTAAGAACGACTCATTTCATATAGAGATCTTAAGCGGAATTGAAGAAGATTTTGCAAAAGTTAGAAAACTTCAAAAAAGAATTCAACTATTCAAAGAGGAAAAAAAGATGATGAAAGGAAAATGTCTTTCTACGAGAATATTCTTTACTAGGAAATCATTATAAAGTTTTGAAATGAAATATTCAGTGATCGTAAGTGTCATGAGAAGAGGTTTTTTTTTGAGGATTCGAACAATTATATAAGATTAAAACAGAATATTATCTCTACTAGGTAACAGTTCATTTTACTAGTTAGATGGTTATGAAGTAGCGAAGAATATTGGTAGTTCGTTTTTGTTTCACTCGAAATCAAGACGATTTTGTTTTGCGATAAAGTTTTATTAGAAATATTAGTGAACTTTTTTTCTTAAGCTACAAGAAAATAAAATAATGTTAGATGATACTATTACGAAACAGAATATACTATTCGTATCGCTGTCAAACACATTATAAGTAAGTTGAAGATTTTCGTTGTGAAGAAAACATTGAAGATTGATCATAAAATAATAGAAATCCAGTTGGATTATTCAGATTTTGGTAGAATTATAAACGTAGAAGATTGGTGAATATAGTCAAGATATAAGTAAAAGGATTTGTTCGCATATTCATTGTAAAATCATCATGATTACCTTTCTTGTCAGTAACACACAATGTCACAATCTGTTTTGGAAGATACGAACTAGAGAAGATCCGTCTAAACATAAATTTAAAAAAGAAAACTTCTATTTAGTCTTGACTCTATATCTATAATAGTTTTGATTAGAGAAATAGATTTATTTCTATTCCACGTTTAGGGTCATTTTTGTCAAAATCTATCGTTATGCTTCGACGAATTATTTTCATCATTTCATAAACGATATAATGAAAAGTTATTCTTGTTCTGTGATCAAACTAAAACTTGATTGTTAATTATACATTCAATTATGTTTTTGCTAAACTTTTCACAGAAGCCAATAGGCTGTGAGAAAGTCTTTTTTTTCTTAATTTTTATTCCGAATTCTAAAATCAACTTAGATCACTGTCACTGCAACGGTTATTAATCATCAACAACAATGAACTGTTGTTTGATAATATTCTATAGCTGGATATCATCATGTTTTTTTTTTTATTTCTAAACATTCATCTAGAAAAGTTAGATTAAAAGTCGGCTGAGATAATATTTAGAATGTTTTTTTTTTCATATAGATATTTATGTTTACTCTCTAGAGAATCTCTTTATTAATTAGATTTTTTACAAGAAAAATGTATGGCAGGTTTCTTGTCTTTGATAAAAATGTCAAGTTGACATAAATTAGAATAATCACCAGCCAGAAGAATACGTTTCATAGACGCTGATTCGACTTTGGGTCATTTGATTTTATGATGGATTTTTGGCAATATTTCCGAAGACAATTGATAAGCAATATATCAGGTTGATTTAGTCGTGTGTTGCCATCCATGAACGAATAAAGTACATCAACATTGTCTAATTTTTTCAGAATAATCAATAATATTTCATCGGGTAAATCGATCAATTGAACAAATGAAAATGCCATGTTTATTTTACATACAATTCTTCTTAGCTTATATATGTCAACATAGGCGGCGGAACGATTTCAATCTAGGGTAGGCTCAATTTTCCAGCGAAATGATGTCAGGAAAAGGGTGAGAAAATGACGTTCATCATATTTTTCCATGCTAGACGCTATACGCCTTCTTGCTAGATTTTGATTCTGTATAAGTGTGATAACTATATAGTGCTTTATTCTTTTGAGATAAAACAATGAATAATGAAGTATTACATAACAACTGCTTAAAAAATAAGACGAGTCTAAAACGTAATAAAATCATACAGCACTAAAAAATGTTTTGCTATTTTCATTCTTCGAAATAAAATCAGAACATACGCTCTTCAAATCAAGTAAATCTAATTTATCGTTATGAATGTGAGGAATAATAACGTGATTTAAACGTTGTTGACTCATTGTGCAACGTAAATATGTTTTAATTCTATTAAGAACACTGAGTGATCTTTCAGCAGTGGCTGTTGTTACAGGTACTGTCAAATATAATATTATCAATTTGCAGTATTCATAAAACATAGTTTCATCAATCTGTCGTGCATTTAAAAGCTCACACATCGTACTAATTTTTGTTACTTTGTTGAGGCCTAATTTCTTCTCCTTGTTAATGCTCGAAAAATAACGTTTACATGTACCCAGGTCAAGCATTACGACGACTAGATACGGCCGTAAACGGCCGTTTACGATGACATATACGGCCGTATACGCCGAATTTACGACCGTATACGGGCCGTATTTTAACGTTTTGGTATGCGCCGTATTACGGCCGTATATCGCCGTGTCGTATACGGTAGTACACACCAACCGTTTAGAAGCCGTGTCCAACCGTAAACGGCCGTATCGTCCACCGCAAACGACCAAACACTGCACCGTATACGACCGTAAGGACAGTGTAACCGACCGTTTACGGCCGTAACTCTGTACAAAAAAGCAAATGCATTTGTAAACCCCCCGGATCACTAGTCCACACACCGCACATATCGATTATACTATAGTTTCGTACAAATCACATTAAACAATGCGAGCAGCCAAGAAACCTCCTCAAGATCACCCCGAAAATCAAAAAATCACACTCCTAACACATCTTTTCAGAACACTCCCAATACCATACCACGTTCCCGAGCACCTACAGTTAACTCCCTATGATTTTCCGCGTATCCTGCAACAGGGTTCATGAGAAATCTGAAAATAACAAAAAGCATAAAAGAAATCCGGCAAAAATCACCTTTTGAAGGAAGCATCGTAGAGAATCGCGGAAAGCAGTATTTGATAGCGAGCATCAAGAGATCCATATTGGGTGATTTCTGCTCCATTCTGCAACGGGGTTGATGAGAAATCTGAAAAGTACAAAAAGCATCAAAGAAATCCTGCTAAAATCACCTTTTGAAGGAAGCATCGTAGAGAATCGCGGAAAGCAGCATTTGATAGCGAGCATCAAGAGATCCATATTGGGTGATTTCTGCTCCATTCTGCAACGGGGTTGATGAGAAATCTGAAAAGTACAAAAAGCATCAAAGAAATCCTGCTAAGATCACCTGTTGAAGAAAGCATCGTAGAGCATCGTGGAAAGCAGTATTTGATAGCGAGCATCAAGAGATCCATATTGGGTGATTTCTGCTCCATCCTGCAACAGGAATCCTGAATAATCTGAAAAATACAAAAAGCATCAAAGAAATCCTGCAAAAATCACCTTTTGAAGGAAGCATCGTAGAGAATCGCGGTTAGCAGCATTCGGTAGCGAGCATCAAGAGATCCATATTGGGTGATTTCTGCTCCATCCTGCAACGGGGTTCATTAGAAATCTGAATAATACGAAAAGCATCAAAGAAATTCTACTAAAATCACTTTTTGAAGGGACTATCGGTGAAGATCATGAGAAAAAATAAAAAAAATCTGATATAGGGTAATAAAAGTAATGGCACGCATGGAAATCGGTGAAACATTTTGAAGTATCACTAAAATCAGCTTCATATTGGTTGGAAATTTGGATTTTTCCGATCGTAGATATACCTTCAAAGATTGTTTTTTTCTTATTTTAGTAGATATCTTGAGTAGCCTTTAATTGGAATTCCATATTGCAATATTTTAAGTATGGATCAGCTAAAAAGTTTAACTCAGTTGTAAGGGAAAACGATCTTTTTGTTCGATTGAGTGGGAAAGATCAAGTAGGATTTCGAAGTCTTTGAGACAAAAGGCTTCTACAGATCGAAGGAATCTGGCTCTACTGCTATTTCTAGTGAAGATCTATAGTGATTTCTGGATGGTAGACATGCTAACTGTGATCTACTGCTCAAAGTCTGGTGTTAGACGGAAACCGGCTTTGGCGAACTTTAGATCCGACATGACATTGGAATGAAACAGAAATAGATTCATATAAATGATTCTGAAGATTTCGGGAGGTTGCTAAATGATTTAGTGGACTTAGTAATTTTCACTTACAAGGCGGGGCACGTCATGTCTTCTGTCCTTACCCATAACGATTTTAAATGCTGAAATCCTGCTTTTGGATTTTTGAGTGACAGTGTTCCGTAATTGGCGGGCTTTGTCGCAGATGCTCTATTCATGATATTTCTACTCGATAAATGATCTTCTGGACTGTCTAGGCCTTAGTGCTAAGGCGGGGCACGTCATGTCTTTTTGTCCTTACACATAACGTTTTAGATGCTGAAATCCTGCTTTTGGATTTTTGAGTAAATGTGTTCGGTAATTGGCTGGCTTTCTCGCAGATGCTCTATTAATGATGGAAACAGATGATTCATGATACTTCTTTTTGATAGATGATGAAAGACTGAATAATCCGAAAATGTGTCAGAAATCACAAGGAAAAATCATAGAAATAATAAAGGAGCACTGAGATTCTTGTGGTGTATAGAGTTTTGGTTTGTAAATAAATTTTAGTGTTATTGTTAGTATCTAGCTGGTTTTATAGTTGTTCAATAATGTAGCCCGACCTTGCACCACTTTTGCGCTGTAACATTGACAATGATTTATCAGTTCAGGCAGTATTTTTTGGTGTTTCCATAATTTTTTCATCTTAACTATTTAAGTTTCGAGTAGGGGATATACCTGACATGACAGGC